GCCGAAATATTCATTTTTTTATTTTCCTTATATGCGTGTTCGGACCCTCACTTCTTAGGATCAGTTTTTTCTGTGATTATTCCTCCGTGGCAAGTCCGATTTAAATTTTTTTTTTCTATGTCCATCTGGATGTACATACGCATGTGCGTGCATAATTTGATGAGAATTGGTTGAATGATGCAAAAGAAAAACGCGGACAAAGAAGTTGCAAAGTCGAATAGAAGAGCTTCGCTCGCCTTCGGCACGTTCGCTCAATAATACTTATAGGCTTATAGGATAAATTGCCGCTTTCTGTGGAAAGAAAGCGATTTAGCTAGATATTTGGGAGAAATAATTTATGTATCGAACAAAGGACCAAATTGATTTCTATAAACGAATAATTTGCTAACAAAAATTAAATCCAAAAAGCATATTTACAATGTGAAGTCTTAAAGTTTAAAGAGAGACTTAAAAAATCAAAATCTAAAAATTCGAAAGTTTCTGAATGGGTTATTATAAAAGGAAATCGTAAAGTATGATAAAATGTTGTTTATTCTCACAGAAATAACATATACAATAATTTATAAAAAACCTAACTTAATATACATATTTATTATAAAAAACCGTGTATACATGTGTATATATATACAGTTCTTACAGCTAAGTACAAATGAATTCTTGTTCAAATATAAACATTGGACTTTCAATAACTTTTTTGTGATATACAATGTATAGGATCTGATATGTATATTAATATACCTATAAATCTTAAATATTTACTTGAACTTTGACTAGTTCATGACATTCACTTTATATTATACTTTTAATATGGTATGTACAAGTATTATAATTTGCATAGTTCAAATAGTTTTTTGATCAATGAATAATTTATAAATTGTGTTTGGATACTGTGTATATCCAGTTTTGAATTGCAGCAAAAATCATATATTAAAAATAAATGTAAATCAGTCGAATTTGATAAAAATATATAAAATTGAACGTCTCCATAATTCTAAATTAGTTAAAAATTATTCGTAAAATTCATGTCACTTTAGATACACCATTTACAATTTCTCTCCACTGAGATTAAGTACATTATAGTACGAGTGGTCTGGGAACCTGTCTAGTTCAATATAATCTGTTTCATCAAGTAAAAGACCTTCAGTTAAACCGACGAGTTCTCCAAAAGATGGTCTGCAGGCTGGATCTTTATTCCAACAATAATACATAATATTATACAATTCTCTCTTACAGTGTTCTGGTTTATCTAGCCTGTAACCTTCTTTGATTCTTCTCATTACCTAAAAAAGAATTACATATATTTTAATTTTTGAGCTACTACCATTAAATAAAAAAATATTACTTAAAGTTTATTTAAGGAAGCGTACCTCTGCTGCTGCTAAGCCAGGATAAGGTGTAGAACCCAATGTTACAATTTCCCAGATTAATACCCCAAAACTCCATATATCAGATTTCACAGAAAAGATGTTATCGTATAAGCTTTCTGGTGCCATCCATCTGATGGGTAATCTGCCTTCCGATTTTCTTTCATATATTTGATTTACAGCGATGTCTCGTGCGAATCCAAAGTCAGCGACTTTACACGCACGATTCTCGTCGATTAATATATTTCTTGCAGCTAAATCCCTATGTATAATTCCTTTTGAAGCCAAGTGCTCCATGCCTTTAGCAATCTGTAACATATGTAATATTGTGTTATTCTAGGCATTTGAATAATCTGAATAAAGGCTTGAACAGAAGGTTCAAAGTATTTCTTACTGTAAGAAATATACCTGATAAACAAATCCAGTCAAATCTCTGGATGTCAATCCAGGTCCACCATGGTTTCTTTCTTCTCTAGATGCCCTTAAGAAACTTTGTAGCTTCCCGCCACTTACATACTCTAATATCACGAACATGGGTTCGCGTTCTGTACAACAACCAAGTAATCTCACTACATTAGGATGAGGATCTAAATTTTTCATAACTCTTAATTCTTGAGCAAGATCTAAGCGTTCTCTTTCTGTAGCATTTTCTTTTAAAGTCTTTACTGCAACAATAGTTGCACCTGCTTTTCCATCGATATCCAATGCTTCACACTTCCACACTTGACCAAAACAACCTTCTCCAAGGATGTTAAACACCTGCGAATAAATTTAAATAAAAACAATATAAATATAGAACAGTTGTTCAGGTTGAAGCTAAATATTACCCATTTTATTAATGCATTACTTATCATAAAATGAATTTCAATATCATTAAAAATTATAAAACAAGTCTATTATCTAATGCTTGTACAATTGATGTATTAATTAAATTGATAAGTTTACAAACCTTCAATCGATGGCGTGGAAATTCCCATTTATCTTCCTGTTTATTTTGTACAGATTGATTTTCCTTTTCCCAGGGTTCATATCTGTTGTTGTGCGCTTTTGGACCCCGCCATCTTTTCAGAACAAGAGATGGGTCGTCCGAGATATTCGAGACACTAACAGAAGCCTGTTCTTTCTATAAAAAAAGTCATCGTTTTGGTAATTTCTTAACAAACCAAAAATATTTATAAATATCTTAATTGGAAAACAACTTATCTAAGAATAAATTAACATTGATTATGTCACTTACATAAAAAATAAAATATAAGTATAATTTAGTTTTTATATGAACTTTTTTAGTGTTAGTTTTTTAAAACGACGAATTTCGGATTTCTTGTTTAATATGTCAACTCTTCTAAATATTCATGAACCGTGAATTTCTATAAAAATTTTTCACAAAATTATTCAGAATTCTTTTTCAGAAATATTTGTACTGTTTGCTTGAAATTGTGGATAATAGATACGCCATAATAAAAATAATAAATAAGATTTGTTAAAAATGGAAATATTACCTAATGTAATTCTTAGTAGCTTTAGTTTTATAGTCGCTATGTTAATCTTTCATAAATTACTGAAGTTTTTTCACCAAACATACATATGTTAATTTCTGCCACGACAAAAAACGCGCATTTATTTTCCATGAACGAATAAATCAAAAGGCTATAAAAGTCATGATTTTAATAATTTCACATCTCAATAAAAATAAATGCATATCGTATTACTTTAAAAAACCCAGTTCAATATACTATAAAAAATAATACGTGTCTTGTCGTGGTTCGTTTTATTCGTGCTAATAACCACAAGCTATCAGTTTCTCAAGTAACTTAAACCCGTAGTACAACATGGTACTGTGAAGTGGTACACACAGGTGCATTATAGACTTATCTTAGTTAATAGTGAGTGTAGCAGAAACAGTCAACCACTATTAGCCTTTAGTGTTTGTTATTAGCATAGAAGCCATGGATAAATAAAGCAAGTAGTAAGACACTTCTCTATACTGCCTTTTAGCTAAGAGAAACTTAAGTTTATCTGTTGTTAAACTTCCTATTAGAACTATCTGTGCCTAAAACTAATATATAATTTTCTATAAAATATATACACACTTTGAATATTAAAAGTGATAACAAAACTATTACAGTACATTGATGTGAGTAATGGTTATTTTAAACATTTATAACTTTAAGACAGCTCACATAATTTATCTTTTGTTCATTTTACTTATTAAAGTAAAATGCTAAACTAAAGCATGTATACATTTTATTTAGGTACTCTATATACAGGTACGTTAAAATTTGAGAACAGTTAGAGTAGTTTCCTTACAGACATTCAATGTTGGTTGTTTTAATGTTAAGTTAAGCTGGCAGTTGCAATTTTCGTGGCAAATCTATTCAGCTGCAATAATCTCAAGCGTACCGTGTCTTCCTTGGATTTCCTGTTGCCGCAGAATTTACTTCTTAAAGACCAAGCACCCATCCCAAGGCCCACTACAAGAACGCAGACCGCGGTAACAGGTACCAAGGTCATCGCTATATCTTGAGAAGGCGGTGCTTCTGCAGGTGCAATTTTTGAGCTAAGGGGCGGCCCCTCGACCTCATTCTCTTCCGTAGACTCTTCGAGGCCACCGGTGCCGCCACCATTGAGATCACTCTCATTTTGTTTTCTTTCCTCTGGTTGTAATTTCGTTGTTTTAGGTATATTAGGCAGTGATGCTATCGGTGATGGTATCACCGGCTTATGATGTAACGATGGTCGAGGGTAGTTTTGTAGGGAAGGAAGACCTATTAGTGGCGGTCGTATCCTTCCACCGGAAGGATGTTGACCCGGAAATGGGTTCCTGTTAAAGAAACATAAAGAAAATTATTGTAGATTAATGTTCTTTTCTTTGAGACTAAGAGTATATTACAAATTGTAGTATATAAAATAGAAAAATAATAGCACAGTGGAATAACAAAATAGTGGAATGGTATGCTAATATAATTACATAATAGAATTAGAGTAATAGCAAAATATTAGAACAGTAGGATAATACAATACTTGATAGAAAGAGTAAAATAGAAAAGGTATAATCAAAATAATATGTATGTCAATAATTACAATTGAACATCAGTTTAATCAAAATCAGTTTACCGACAACTCGATCAATTTTATCCTCGAGTAACCTACCTAGTGTGTCCTCCATTGGGACTTGAAGTATTCTTGATGGTGATGTAGACCTCGGTCTTTGTTGTGAGTTGTCCATCGGAGACGGTCACGTAGAGGAACAGGTTCTGCCCTCCCTGGAAAGAGAAAAAACAAAACCCGTCGTTTAATCGTTGAACGTCGACCATACGTAGGTTGAGTTACGTTTTCACAGTTTTGAAAAAGAACAAACAACTGCATTCATCGGGTTTCACTGCAACAGTATCCATGTATCTCAATAACCATTGCTAATATTTCATGCAATTGTATCACAGTATTCGAATGTCCATTATTATCATTTTTAACACAATTATATTAAAGTATTTTATGTTATATTTTAGTAAGTTAGTATGTACTATAATTATATTATAGTAAGTAGACTTTCTCAATGCATCTATATCACTGTACTTTTATAGTTAACATTTTTAATCGCATCACAGTATTTCAATATCTATAGTTTACATTTCCAGTGCAATTATATAACAGTATTTTAGAGTCTACGGTTTATATTTTCAGTACTATTATGTGATAGTATTTTAGTATTTACACTTTACATTTTCAGTACAATTATAGTATTTTACTATCTATAACTGTGGTTTCGCAACTCAACTAAATCTATTATTGCACCTCATATTTGAATCTCAGTATCGGGGTATATCAGATTACATTTTTCACATTTTAGAGATACAAATCAAAGTTGCAAACAATATAATACATTTTTATATTATTGTAATAAAAACTAAATGTATTAGAAAGAAATGACTATTATCTCTGTCTGAGATTCAGATATTCAGTGTCCTCAAACAAGAAACGACTTTTACTTTGTCTTTGAGCGTTTCATTAACGTAGATAATTCCAGTGCGATTGTCGATGTAGAAGGGAAGCGGCGAGTGCGGACTGTCGTTTCCATTATAGTCATGTTCAAGAGGTTCCAAACCGTAGGTTAGTTGATCTTGTTCAGCGTCCTCGGCACGTGCTCTTGTCACAACACTTCCAACGGGTTCCGAATCTTGAAGTACCAAATTTCGATCTATCCACATGACAGGAGGTGTATTATCACTATATTGACTCCCTGCAACACAAAATAAATAATTTAAATAATAATTTACTAAATAATTTTTAACTACGTTTAAAACCACTTAACTAAATTACATGAGATTAATAATATTTTTTATATACATCATTAATTTTTCATATGTTTAATTACAGTTTCTAATTGTAAACAGTTTCAAGTTAGAAATCTATGTTTGATACAAATTGAAAGTTATATTTTTCTTTTAGTTCCAAACATCATTTGTCAGAATAGAAATAAATGGCTTTAATGGCATAAGCTCTAATTAACTTCAGATTTACTGAATAATAACAAGAGAGAGCTGTTAGTGGCTCGGGAGATCGACCTTGATATGCATTCCTTCCTGAATTTCGAGTTCATATCAAGTAGAGTGTAACCTTTAGTATTTTAGCTGGAAACTGCGTAGTCATCAGATTTTCGACATTTTTTGTGGCAATGTTTCGAAATATTTAAATTTTAAATTGACACATCTTCAAAAGGTCTGGAAGTCTGAATTGATACATCTGTCTACTTAACAATTTTAGGGAACATTTGATATTATACATATAATTTAGTTTTTCGAATAATGCATATTATCATTCAGTTTTGAGTACAGAAAGTATAATATGGACTTTGTCAATAGCCTCAACTTGGACAAGGTCACATATGATCCTACCATCATACTTAAGGGTTAAAAAACAAATCCTTAGTCATTTATATGATGTATTATTAAGTATGGTCATGATGTTTAATAAGTTAAAAATTTGGTATGGAATAAAATTGTTTAATTTGCAAAAAAAGCCAACAGCACGCGGAGTTCCCAAGCGGTCACCCATCCAAGTACTATCCGCGCCCAACTCAGCTTGACTTCGGTGATCGGACGAGAACCGGTATATCCTGACTAGTATGGCCGTTGGCTGAAAGCTATTCTTTGACGTCCAAAGACATTTAGAAATTCAGATAAAACAAAACGTAGAAAGTTTTTTTAATTAGAAGCGACTTGAAATTAAATACAAGAGAGTTGTATTAATCAAAATTCTTCAATATTAGTAACTGAATAAAAGAAAGAAAACCAACAGACCAGAACCGGTATATTCATTAGTATAAACATTGAAGGATGCAAATATTCATTGACTTTCAAAAATTCTCAGAAATTCGATTATCAATATTTAACAAATATTTAAATATTTTTCTCATTAAATGACATATTGACAACCTCAGTGGTCACTAAGTATAATACAATATGAATTCAATAATGTATAGTGAAATATCTGAAGGGTAATTTTAAGTAGAGTTAGTATTACATTAATTATTTAAACCTATTTGTACACAACAGTGATAGTCAACTTTCATTTTTATTCTTTCATTTGGAATAAGTGAATAAAACAATTGTACATATTATTTTGTAGTTTCACGCAGATATCATACTTATCGATAGTTGATAATACAAAAAGATCTTTATATTAGCAATTCTTCATGTTTCTTAGAATGTTAGTACTTTACAAAATCATTCAAAGTTAACAAGGTAACATATCTCATTAATACTGATTTTAAAAAGTTACATTTTTATAAAAGTATTATTTTGATTACAGTTTTTACAAATATAGTATTTTTTTTTAAATTACAGTTTCCTCTTTTTACTATCATTAAATTTCTAATCTCAAATTTTTAATCAAAGTTTATTGCATACTTTTATTGTTCACTTAATGACTTTTGTGATTTTATCTCATCTAAATTATTGTTCTAATCAAACGTGTTCTGTGATTTGAAAACTTAATTACCACTGAGGTATATGAAAGAATGAACGTAGCAAGGAGGAAGGGGACTCCGAACACGATGCGGCTGTGTACAAATGAAGCTTAAAACGATTGTATTCTGAATGATTGCAATTATAGTATACAACCGTTTTTACTATGGCAACGTTTTAATTCATGTCATAGTATGCTATACCAGTTATGGCTGCTTCTACTGCAGTGAAGTGGAATATTGTCAGACAAACCAGTCAGCTACAGTATCAGCCTATAAAGTAATCAAGGATCTTGATGTCGGTAGCATCCTCATTTTCATGAACTAATAAATTTAAAGACAATCTTATGATAAATAAAAAATTGGGGTTTCAATAAGTAACTGAAAAAGACATAAATCCATCTTTATAAAATTTTATATTAATTTTTAAACTAGTCTCAATAAAGTTTAACAATAATTAATTAAGTTGGTTTAAAAAATGTCTGATCTATTATCAACTTGATAAATACTATTTATATCTTTTATATGTATACATAAAAGCTGTCCTATGTAAAACAAATTATGCGCGAGAAAGGTTCAGATACATTCAAGGACGAAAGTTGCAGCAGAACTTCCAGTCTCCAGAATTGAAACCCCAGTTAACATTCTACATATGAAATAGCTCGATTTGAGAGGGAGGGAGTTGGGGAATCCCAGAACTCCTTTCGACATGTAAATTTTACAACCTCATTCGCAGTTAATTGCGTCATTCGAATATCAAACAGAACAGATTTACTGTAGCCATAGACTCAGGCTCCGGTTACATTAGAAGCGTTTTCTGTCCAAGCATGAATACATTAGAAAAAGAAAATAAACTTCTATAAGAGTGTTTACAATACAATTACAATATTCGTGAGAGAAGTAAATTTTTAGAAAACGCATCTACTGTGACGTCAGTTTATAACTACGCATTACGTCGAAGTTCATGGAGAGAAGGAAATAGTGACTTCTCTTTCTAATATGGTGGAACGATTCCACCTTTGTTATTATTTCCCCTCTCAGCGCTTTCTTTTCTCCCTCTGTCGGCTGCTAGTGAGAGCACTAGGGCGGGACTATTTGATTTATGTCGGCTTTAACTTCACGTAAGAGCGTATAATGTGTTTGTATAATACACGCTAGGTAAGTACGTTTAGGATTCCTTCGGATGACTAGTGTAGGGGGAAGACTATGTTTACAAATTTTAATGTCTATATTTATACATTCTCAGAATTCTAAATTTTGAAATTTCTAAATTTTTAATTTTCCTATTATACAAATTTCCAAGTTTTCAAATTACCTAATTCATAAATTTCCAAATTCTCAAATTACTCAGTTCACAAATTCCCTAATTCACAAACTTCCAAATTCTTAAAGTACCTAGTCCACAAATTCCCAAGTTCTCAAATTACCTAATTCCCAAATTAAATTTGAAAATATATCAATAAGAAATTAACAACTATTAGTCTTCCCCCTAGACCGCCATTTTCTCTAACAAAGCTTTACCGCGTTCACTACAACGTATGCATTTCCAACCGATCTCTGTTGCTTGCGCAAACCTCAAATTTCTATTCACACTTCAACTTTCCAGTTCATCTTATTTCTTCCGGTCAAAGAACAGAGGAAACTTCAGGCAGGTTGCAAAGGTTGAGGAGATGGCATGTGGTCAGCAACGTGCCCCGAACCAGAAGGAGAAAGTGGGACGATGAAAGTGCGACCAAACGGCTGGATCAACACTGCTTACGCTTCTGATCATTAGCTCTCGACTCATGGTTTTTCCATTAACATCGGAAATGCACAATCCACTTCTACTAAAACGCGTAGTAACACTGACACCTTTGGTTAATACGACGAACTTCTTTCACTAATTTTATTTATTCGTGTATTTATATCTCAACAGAACAGATCCTTTAATTATTTACTCACCAAGTTGAAAAATTTTGTGGGTTTAAGTAATTTAATACATTCTTTAAGGATGCTCAAATGTAAATTGATCTCCTTCTTTCTTTTTGTATAGTAACTTTAAAATACATAAAAATGAAAAGTACATTGCAGTTTATTAATTCCAAAACACCTCAGGAGAACACTGCATAAAATAAAATAATCTATTAGTGTATATTGATGTGTAAAAATAAAATATCTGAATATAGAGATATACTTTCCAAGATGATTTGTTATGAATATATTTATTTGTAAAAATAAAATTCTAATTTGTACCTTTCTAATGAATTTATTCTTAACTTTCTCAAATTTCATTCTCTTCAAAATATCCTTCGTTTATAGCAATTATAACAATTGTTTATTATATCAATTTTATTAAATTTATTTTTTACATTGTCGAATCAGAGTATATTAAAATTAAGTATATTAATCTGAAATAAAAGTTAATAATACGTTTTAATTAATTTTGTTCAAAATTATTCTTCTGGTATTCGTCCCACGAAGATATTTAATTGAAGGACACGGTAAAAGAAATAGAAAGTAATTTCTTTAGGTGATAAAGAAATTATTGCAATAAAGGTTAACGATTCGCTGAAGAAGCGTTTCGAAACGATCGGTTTCATTGAATCTCTCTGGATGGTGACGTCAATGCATGCGTTTCCGGAAGCGGATACTTCAGGGCTTACGAGGATTCAAAAGAGGCCGTGCACGCTTTTTTTACCATTTGCTCGTTCTACCACCACAGAGAACCGAACTGGAGAACTTTCACTTCGATGAGGTCATCGTCAGGCCTTAAATATCCGTTAGCATGACGCTTCACTTTCATGCACAGCGATACACACCAAAAATCGAATTTGAATTATCGAATAGAGATGGTGCAATCGATAAACATCGATAATATCGAGCATTCGATATGTCGTCAAACTATGGTTCAGGCAAATGTATCGCGAATTTTTAGCGATGCACGGTATCAGGTTTTGTTCTCGAGATTTAGTTTCCTTCTTGCTGTTATTACGTAAGAAATATAAATAATTTATTATAATTTTGTTAATATTAAAGATATTGTATTGATAATTAATATAATATTAAAAATATTAACATTATTAATAAATATTAATCCCTGTCTAAAACCATAAGTCCTAACATTCTCAATTTTTTAAATTACCAAATTCAAAAATTATCAAATACACTATACACGAATTAAATTCCCTACCTCTCCAAATTTTCAAATTCCCAGATGTTCAAATCTTAAATTCTTAAATTCATTGAATATACTGTCAGTACAGTATTATGTATCTATACAATATTAAATAATACAGCATAATTTATTTATACAGTATTAAATAATATAGTATTATTTATTTATTGCAATATCATCAATATTGTGAACCCTATAATATTAACATTACACATTGATATAATTTTATACATACACATTAACACCATTATCATTAAACTCTATTTGTTATTGCACATAAATTGTCATAAAAAGCGTTATTATTTTTCCACACTATCGACATCGTAAATTCGATTGGGACATACGGCAAGTAGCTCGATTACCGGTAAAGACTGAATACAAGTTTCTTGTGTGGCGTCTGGTGACCTGATTATGTAGCTCCTTCGTTTAAAAGTTAATTCGTCTGGCTGTTATTCGATCTTCTTGCTATTTTATTTCATCGTACAACACATTAAGCAACTTTTTGTTTGAATTCCTTGAATCAGAAAGAACTGTTCGTGACCATGGGAGTTTTTTTCTTTACGTAAGAGGAGAGTGAGTAGGGGTCACCTGTCTCCGTGAAAGCTGTCTGCGGCAGGCTTGCACAATAGACGGGCAATGTGGGCACGTTGTTGCCCATGAGCAAGATGGTGGGCAACGATCGTAGGTCGTGATGTCATAAGCCGTTGCTAAGAATACATTGTCTTTCTTCCTTATTAACGTGGGTTCAATAGACGCGTTGACACATTTAAACTGAATAAAACTGCCGTCTGGTGATTTGCACGCAAAACTGTAAATCTACTTTGTTGCATGAACCACAGGTCTAACGATGTAGATTTACCCTCTAGACTTGCGGTAGACTATGGAAAACGTGGTGGATGCCGGTTCAGGAATCGGTCGTTTTGCGCCACGGTATTTTAGCGTAGGCCAACGAACACGCGGTATTGCGTTAGCGAACAATTAGTCGTAGTCATTATGCACGAGACGTGGTCGGATATTTAGCATTAATTATTGTGAACGCGATATTACATGAATAGATTCACACCGATGAATGGAGACGCGATATCGCGTGAGCGACAATGCAAGCGATATTTGCGTAATTTTTTTAAGGATGGAATTGTTGTTCTTGACCATGTAAGAGTAACAATTAATTTGTTTGTAAACAAGGAGAAACTGAAATGTTTTCTTTCTTATTTTCTGTTATAAATTCTAAAAAGTATTCCAGTTTCACATTTACTCAAGACGTACGTCGAAGGAAATCTCGTCAACGCTTTCTCCGGACATATTAGAAAGTACAGGTTAAATATCACAAACTTCTAGTAAGATAATTTTCAAAACTTTGGTTTTCCGCAATGACAATAACTTGAGTTAAAATAGACTTAATATAATTTATATAATTAAGACAATATAAAAAATAAATTGCTACATTGTTTTCCATGTATCGTTATTTATTGTTATCTAAATTGACTCACTATTTTCAAAATAAGTTCAATTGTCTTTCAAATGATCTACTCTTCAGTGATATATTGAACTCATACCCGTTATACTCATTAATATTACCACTATACATTTCAAAAGTGATTATGTAGTAATATGCTAAATATGTAGCAATAAAGCTTTATGGGAACATCATCATTATATTCCTAGGCTTAGCCGGACTTGACTGCTTCCTAATAACCACTTCCGTAATATTCTGACTAAATGAACAGGTTTATCACCGTAATTAAACATAGGAACAAAAGACATTAAAATTACAAAGATGTGAAATGAATTTAAAATATCTTACCAGCCCCGTTCCACAGGCAAAATGCCGTAATTGCGATGGTCAATCTGACGAACATTGCGTTACATTGATCTACGGTACATTAAATATCAATGCGTCCGCATTCGAGCCGCCGATATCGTGGTTCGATATGCGCGAATCGAGCCACGCTAATCCGGAGCACCTTAAAAGATGTGTCGTGTCTATATGAACACGCATCTGTCATTCATATCACTTGTTCGATGCATCCGCTATTTTTCCCGTTTTTTCTGCGGTGATCCTTTTATGTCCTTCATATCCGACTTCAATCATTCACTGAACACAACGGGAAACAATCGCGAACGAACATACCTCCTGGAACTTTACACGAGCAGATATTTTGAATTCGATATTTTCAAATCGATTTTCACCAGTATATCGTACACACGTAACCCCATACTTTTCGATTAATTCGATGCACTCGATTCGCAAACACGAAATTTGTCGACGATTTCAAATTTGAACGACGTGTCTGCCGTTCAAAACACCTGTCGACTTTCTCTCGATTCGAATAATTAATCAGCGCAAGCTGTTAGAACGATCACATTTTATAACGGAATGAAAATTGCGAACACACTTGACACAACTGACGTTTAGTTAGTGATGAATTTAAAAAAAAAATCGTATCAATTTTCTCTCTGTCTCAATCGCCGCCGTATTCGACTTTGATGTTTTTAAGCCCGTCACGATTTCACTTCTTTTCGGCTGATCTTTCAATCCTTTCATAATTTTTCGCTAGTTCAAACGATTTACAGTTATGTCGTTAATCACTTGCGCACACTCGAATAATATTTACGTGTATTTACTTCGTGCACCGTTGAATGAAAGTTGCATTTAAGGACACACGACGACGCTCGCTTGCGTGTCGCGACGCGATCTGTCCGCGAGTTTCACGGCAGCCATACCGATCAACTAAAAGAACGTGTAGCATTGGCGTAGCATCTCGATCGTGCAGCGCTTTTTTTCATTTCAGTCAATTCTGCGAAACCTTTCGGTCCATAGGTCTACAATTATTTTAAGAATCAATTATTCGACTTTTCTAAATGTTTTTTTCTTTATTTAGAGCAATTTTTTAGGAAAATTTAAAAATTTAAAAAGCAGTGCTTTAATGTTAGATTAAGCAGTCACTGAAAATGTGAATAAGAGGACATTGATTACCAAGTACACCTGATAGGTTTCAAAATTTATTAAGTTCATCTGCTAACCGTATCAGAATTTATTGCTAAATGTCAACTTTGTTATTTAATATTTGTTTTTAATGTTAAAGGTCTTTGATGTTGGGATACCCTGTATACAGTGAAGTGTAGAAGCAGGCATACTACACTTTGCGATGAAAAGTGGCGATGTAATGGAAAGAGGCGCCATCACTCGTTGCTTCGCAAACTTGGAAATTTACCAATTTAAGTTAAATTTTTATAACAATAATCTGAAAATAAACAAATTATATATCTGAGTGTAAAAAGCATGATATGTATAAATAAATATAACATTTCATCTACTTAGTTGTTTTTGTAAAAATATTATTTCTTTGTAGTGATAGTTTTAAATATCAACATATGTCAGAATATAGTATATATACATATAGTATAATAATAAAGTATAGATCATTGTATATTGTATGTACATGGAAACATCGTTTAATTATATTTTCTACTGATAAACATATACTGTAAAAAATTTATAAATAGTCTGATTGTAATTGAGTTATAAATTATAACGTTATATAAAATGAATTTGTAAAAAGATTGTGATAAAAATGTGTTAGAAGTTTAATGTCATGTTTAAAAACATATAAAAGTAAAAAACAGTGTAGTGAAAATATCAGCAAGTAAACATTTGATTGCAAAAATTGAATTAATGATTTAAATATTTTTGTATTTTAAATGTTTTTAGTTCAAACATGTCTAAAGAATTGAAAACAGCTTTCAAAGAAGCTCGAGAAGCATTCAAGCAAAATAACTTTGCAGATGTAATTAAGAAATGTAAACAGATATTAAAGAAAGATTCAAAACATTATGGTTCATTTATTCTGTTGGCTGCCGCAATGAATGAGATAGAAGAACACAAGCAACAAGTACCGCTGGTTCTTCGGAAAGCTACGCAGATACAAGCAGATAATCCACTAGCTTGGCATTACTTAATAATTTATTATGAAAAAAATTTAGACATCAATGAATCCTACGATAAGCTAATGCAAGCTTATTGCAAATTTTTGTTACTAGATAGGTATCGAATCTTTATTTATTTTACAAATTTTATTTCTGTACAAAACTATATTCATTAATATTTATTTACAGTGATAATAAGTTTTTGAATATTTTGAATAAAATCTTGGATATATCTTTACAAATTGAAAATTCTGAAATATTAGTCGAATGTATTGAAAGCTTAGTTGAACTCCAAAAAAAATTAGATGATGATGATAAAATAAAGTTGATCAATAAAACATTAGTATGGATATTAATAAATAATTATAATAATTTAACGATACCAAAATATCAGGACCTATTAGAAAATAATTTTGTATCTGTAATCAATGATGATAGTGTACCTGATCGACAGGATTATTATAGGAAATATTTTGGAATATTATATGACAAGGGTAAATTTATGGTTTTAATTAAACAAGCTATAAATGTACATGAAAAGTTTCCACAAGATACGTTACCATTGGGTGAGTGTTAAAAATAATATATCATTGATTTCATTTATAGTTAATTTATCAGTTTTTTTTATAATATAGAAAAATAAACAAATAACAAAGATAATTATTAATTAAAACTAATCTAGTATACTGCTATTCTTTTGTTACAGAACATATATGCAGAGTTTATTATGAACAAAATATTTTATATGGAAATCATGTTGATATTAATATAACACAGTTCTATGAAATTCTTTTAAAATTAAATGCAAATTCTGAGACTGCTGCAATTGCAAAAGCAGTATATTTAAAAGAAAATGATAATTTGATAGAAGCACGCCAAATATTAACAGAAATACTTGTATCAAAACCAAATTCAGTGTATGGTTGGATAACATTAAGTGAAATAAATGCAAAACTTTATTGTTGGGAAGATTCAGAAAATGCTGCAAAGCAAGCATTGAAAATTCAGCAGAATAAACAAAATGATAAACTGTTGTATAAAATAGACTTATTGTTAGCTGAATCTATGAGTAGAAGTAATAATAAACAAAAATGGGAAACTGCTTTGAAAATTTGTGAAAATGTAAGATAATTGTAAATTACAACATACTCTAGTTTGTATGCCTCTCGTTCAAGTTTAAATTACAATAACTTTATTATTTATTTGAATATTCATACATACTTATATGTTTGAAATTTATTATCAGAATTTGAAGAAATGTGCATCAACAAAATTGGATGTAGTATATGCACGAATTGCTATATTGATGGATGACCCTGATGTTCATATTAAACTAAACAATTTGGAATCAAAACGTGAAACCAAAATTCAAGCTAACATTCTTCAAGCATTTTATTTAAAACGACTTAAGCAATATGAGGAAGCTGTAAACAGCTTAGACTCAGCATTAGAAACATCTGAAGCATGGTTACTTCTTGGCATGATATATTGGGAAATGGCAGAATTTAATTATAGTCTGATGGCTTTTTTAAATGGAATAAAGGCTGACCGTTATAATTGGGAATGTTTGGTTTATTTGGGTCACTATTATCGGGAACATGGTAATGATATTGAGCGTTCCAGAAGATGTTATCAAACTGCATTACAAATTAATCCAAACTCTGAGGAGGCTGGTATCGGTTTAAGTACTGCATACAGACTGCTCAAAAATCAGGTAAGCATCAACCATGTACAGTTTTTATACAAATAAGTATTTACATGGAATATTGTTTCAAGGATGCTAATATTCAACTGTTGCAAAAATTAACTGTACGAGATAGTGGTCCTAAATGGGCATGGTTGCAGCTTGGTTTGCAGTATTTAGATCAGGGAGATGCAACACAAGCTATTAAAGCATTTCAACATGTTATTAGAGCTGATCCTTATGACAAGTATTACATAATAGTATAAGTATAATCAAAATTTGATAATTACATGCTGAAAAAATTCATTAATTTATACCTGAATTGTTTCTACTATCATTTGAAAAATACACCACTAAGTGACATTTACTTAAAAATGGTTGATAATGAATTATTGCTATACTTTATAAAAAATTATACAAGAATTTTTAATAACATACAGTTGTTTACAGGCACTGCTGGGCATCCTTAGCAGATGCATATTTTGTAAGGGGTGCTTACACATCAGCCTTGAAGTCATACCAACGAGTATTAGAATTATGTCCAAAATCATTATATCCCATGATACAGTTGGCAAATATAAAATTGGTTAGTATTAATGTCACATACACATAACTTTACATAGCTAAGGTAGAACATACATATACAAACCACGAAAAATAAATTTTGAATCTAGTTTTCAATACTATTTTATAGATTATTAATCAATACAATGAAGCAAAAACAGACTTTGAAAATTTACTATTGGATGAACCAAATTATATTCCTGCTTTAAAAGGAATGGCTGAAACTTGTTTAGCTTTAGCAAAGGAATACATTTCTAAACAATTGTTGGGCCGTGCTAAAGACTATCTACAACGAGCAATGGACAATTTAACTACAGCTGTTAAAGAACGCAAGAATACATCATGTATCTGGAAATTATTAGGTGATGTATGTTACAGAGTTGCAACGATGCCAGAAAAATATAGTCATTTGAAAGTATCTTCTATTTTAATAAAACGTAACGATACCGAAGATGTTGTGATGCTTAAACAAAGAGACCTATTTCTTCTTTCTTCAAGGTATGTACTTATTGCATTACACATGTATGTAAGATAGAATATTGTTTAGTAAGCAGTAAAGTACTTAATGAATATTTTATTTACAGATGCTACTGTTGCGCATTGTCATTGACCTCACATTCATCTTTACTATGGCATGATTTAGCTTCATGTTATTTAATGCAATTAAAACTTGATCCATCTGTTGATCATAAAAAACTAGCTGGTAAATGTCTTGCTGCTGCAAAGCATGCTGTTAAACTATGTCCTTCAATGTGGTTGCACTGGAATCTTTTGGGTGTAATCTGTATGTCACCACACATAAAAAATTATGCATTAGCTCAGCATGCTTTTATTATAGCTATTGATAAGGGATTGAACAATGCTACTGTTTGGTGTAATTTAGGAACTCTATATTTGCATATAGGTATGTTGAAGTTACAAAATATATCAAATCACAGTAGATAACAGTCATTAACAGTGACACATTACTGCGTACGAACTTGCAAATTTGTATACTTATGAAAATTTTTTGTTTTAGGAAATCTGTACAAAGCAAATGAGGCTTATTCACAAGCTCAGCGCGTAGATCCAGCATATATAAATAGCTGGGTAGGGCAAGCTATAATTGCTGAAACGTTATCTAGGAAAGAAGCAATAGATTTATTTAATCATTGTACACAATTGGGATATCACGACCAAGCTGCGTTGGGATATGCTCATTTGGTACTTAATATGATTTTAAATTCTACCGTCAAAGAGAATCATTTTTATACATATATAATAGAAAAAATGCATGCTGTGTCTGTGGCTACTGATGTTATGACTTGGTATGTAGGTAAGTTTATATAATAGATAATCATAAATATTATAAGCAAAATCGATCATATTTGATACTAAAAGCAGTAGTAGTTCTAACTGTAGTATATTGCAGAGCATCATCCTAATAATAATTATGCTAGAAATGCATATGGATTGTTACTTGAGAGACAGAAACTTTATAAGTCTGCTGCAGAACAATTTGCTGCAGCTATATGCATCAGTACTAACGAAGAACAGGATTTTGTATGTATAAATTTGGCACGTGTACTACTGCAACTTGCTAAATATGATGAAGCCATAAAATTCTGTCAAGCTGTTAAAGGAATCACTTACAATTCCCAGTGTTATTTAGCATTAGCTTTATTTAAAGGTAATAGTATTATATTTTTACTGTATGCAGTATATATTTATCCATATCTTTTTATTTTTAGCTGAGAAATATGAAGAATCATATAATACATACGAAAATATATTGAATTTGTATGCTAAAACTGATGCACAAAAAGCCTATACGCTATGTGCAATGGCAGCGATAGCATATACATTTCAAAGAGTACAGGATGCAAGAATTTTGCTGTTTCAATGTATACAAATACAACCACCGATTGTAATTGGCCTTTTAGCGGCTGCATCGTTGGGCATATTGCACGGAGATGAAAATTTAACTACGTTAGTATTGAACGAATTAAAGATCTATAAAAATCATTCTGTATATGGACATCATGTTATAAATTTATTAACATATTTCTACATAATTAAAAATAATATTAAAAGCGCTATCGCTACTCTCTCTAAGGCAATTTTTACATATCCTGGTAAGTAATATGCTCTTAACTTGGTTTTATATAACAAATTATTACTATTATATATATAATTTGTAATATTCACTTATAGGTGATGTAAGGCACTGGGTACGATTGCTAAGAATATTGTTGGAAACAGATTTAAGGACTTTTAGTAAATGTGCTCAGAAAACTCTATTTCTTAGTAGAAGTACTGCTACTGAAAATGTCGCACATATTGCATGTGCATCATTTTATAGTTGTTATATAAAAAATTCGGAACCAAATAATATTAGGTCATTACAGAAATTGCTATTTACTTATCCTGGTAATATTGAAAGTTGGGCTACATTCATAGCTGTATATTTAACAAGGTTTGTAAATATTTTTCTATTTTACAATATTTAAACAAGTTATGCACACTTATCATTTAAATCAGTCTTATCAAAATGACCATTGTTATTTTACTATTGCATTATTTTATTGAAACAAATAGGCTTTTAAACATACAAACATTCTTAAAAAAAAATTTAAAGGTATGAAGGTTAGACTAAAAGATATTTAAATCACTTACAGGCCTTCAAAAATGAATTTGGCTATTGATGCTCAACAAATTGAAGCATTTATATCAACAGTAATACAAAATTATCAGCCTAAAGGTGAAATGGCCGAATGGCTATATAAAAGCAAAAGGAAATTAAAACAACTTGCTTAAATAAAAGAATTTCTTAAAAAATAAAAGACAACGTTTAGTACAAATAGATTTTTAATCATTGTTTATATTTCATTTTATCACGTATTTAAAATACATTTTTTAAATCTAATTGTATTTGTAATTAGGATTTCTAAAAAGATAAAGAAAAATGAATGAAATATATATCATGCAAAAATATTGTATTTTGTATTCACATTTTTTGCAATTTATTGTAACAATTGTTTTAATTGAAAAAAAATTGGAGGAAGGCATTTATTTTTGAAAAAAAAAAAAAATAAATAAATAAAATACAAGAAGCTGGGGTGACAAAATCTTTTTTCCTAGACCTGATTAATTGTTTCATTTTCTAAACTTAATTAGGTAGTAAAATATTTATAGATATGTATAAATTTATTAAAATAACTACATTGAGCACAAAACCTTTTAACTCTTCATAAACACATTATTGACAGTTTTAAGCAATTTCAAAGAGTCTTCTGTTGAATACTGAATTAATCTACAATCAAATTGAGTCTGGAAAACATTCTGAAAAAGTGGTATAACATCTTGAACAGTTACATTTTTGTTTAATTCTTTACTAATACTAGTTACACCCTTTCCTTCAATACCACATGGCACAATGTGATCAAACCAACTTAAATTTGTATTACAATTTAGAGCTAAACCATGCGTCGTTATATAACGACTTCCATGAATACCAATTGCACAAATCTTTCTATCATTCACCCACACACCAGTATCTGGAGATGTTCCAGCTTTAATGCCATATTCTGCACACAACCGAATAATCATTTCTTCTATTTGAGAAACATACCATTTAACACTGCATTTAAAATGCTTCAAATTTAATATAGGATATGCTACCAATTGTCCAGGACCATGAAAAGTTATTAGACCACCTCGATTTGTTCTATAAAATTCAGCACCTAGTTTTTTTAACCTCTCTTCTTCTTCAATTGTATACCCTTTATCCCTAATTCCAACAGTAAACACTGGATCATGTTCAAGCAATATTAACGTATTACAAGTATCCTGGGTTAAATTCTGATGATGTTGGCTAGATAATACTTTTTGTAATTTAAGTCCAGTATTGTAACTTAATCGGCCAGCCCATAAAACTTTAACTAATTTTGAAGTCATAATAAGGCTGTACTATTTTTTTTACCCCAATTTTGTATATTATTGTATATTGATTAACTCGAACTTATGCTATCTTCAGTTTTTTGTAAATTCAATTTTTCTTGTATGGTAATGTATAAGAGCCATGAAACCTGTTTTAAAAAATAAAAATATCTGTATACATAAAAATAAAATTACATAAAAGCAGTAATATTAAAAAGAGACATACATAGGCATCTGTTGCAGCATACATTTTTTGGTCTTTATTTAGAGGATGTATGTGCCATTTACTTTTCCTTACTTTTGGATTCTTGTCTAGCTCTTTCTTTAGCTAAAATGATAAAATGAAAATTTGGTTTATTTAAAGGAATAATGCTTTTAATTATATATATATTGTACTATAGTTTTATTTTAAGTTACTTTATAAAAACTAACCACATATTCAGTTAATTTCTGTAAACTCCAACGACAAGATCGATTTAATACTGCATTTGCAAATGTACCACAATCTATACAATTATTTTCTACAACTTTACTCGCTGGGAATTCCTTAAAGTCTCTACCCAGTTTCCAAATATCGCTATAAATAGGAAAATTAAGATTACAACTCAAAAGATACTATTAGTATTCATTATTAAGAAACTTACTTTTTAACATTAACTCCAACTAGTTTTACTTTTGGATGAGTTAAAAGAATTACTAATGCAGCAGGTAGTTTTTTCAATGAATATATGTGTAACAAATGACATACATTTTTATTCAAACATATCTGTACTAAAGCAGTTTTTCCACTTCCTGTTTGAAAACTAAAAGGCCATTCTAAATCGAATCCTACTGGTACTATGTCACTATCATAATTATCCAATTCTTTGCTAAAATAGGACATACATTAATATCTTCTATTTATTGGGTCATATTAATTATGTAAATCTTACATAATGTTATCACAAATCATAGCACAGGCATCAAAATCACTGACATAGTTAATACGCCCTTTGAATGAAATTATTGGTAAATCTGACATATTAACCTTTTATTTGTTATAAATTGTTATTCTAATTATATTTATTAAAATATTTAGTACTAAAAGCAAACTGAATTATTACAATATCTATTTTATTGTCATTCTCATTTGCAACAGGTTATCATAACCACATTACTATAAAATGTAAAATTTCTAAAGAATTGTTACAAAATAAATTTTAATATTTTATTTTTAATAAAATATTTTATTGTACATTAATGCGTATCAATAAATATGACTACACAACATTATTATTTATATTATTTCACACATAACCGGATTTTTCAAACAGTTTTCGTTTATTCGGCGCTAACTGTAACCAAGAGTAACGCGCAAGCGCTTTCATAATGGTGCGATGCCCAGCTTATATACCTGGTGGTCTTTTATGTTGTAAATACATTTTTAATATTATTTCCTATTGCCATTATTTTTATGTACAATATTACTGTCCACCATGTATATACAGCGTTAATGAAACAACGTTAGAAACGAAATGCTTTCTGAACTCACTCAAGCTGCAAGAAGATGGTTTAATATTCGGTCATCCGTGAAATACAAGTATGTTATAAACATAAATGTAAGTTCATTAATTTCTTCAGAATTATCACTTATTTTGCATTATGAACTGTTTCTGTAGTAATAAACGTTAATGCATTGATGGAAGCTTAGAAACTTCAAAGTTCTGGAATTTAGAAGGTTGGGAGCTTAAGAAAGAGTTTGGAAACATGAAAGCTTTGAAACTTCAGAGTTTGAAAGTGTGGATGTTTGGGAGGTTATAAGGTAGGTAGGTCAGGAGCTTGAAATCTTAAAAGCTTGAAAAAGTTGTGTTTCTAATAATTTAATTCTCACGTAAGTACATACATACAATATTAAGAAAGCTACGATTAAATTGGTTCCCTTTTTATTATATTTTTATTATAAAATACATAATTTGATATAATACACATTAAAAGATTCAAAATAGTATTTTGACTTTTCAAGTATATATATGTTTAGTTATCAATAATTATCAAATAATAGTAAAAAAAGAATAATTTCACATCCTTTGTTTAATACTATTTAATATTTTTATACTATAAATAAGAGAGTACAAAGATTGTATAAAAATTAACTTTCAACAGATCTATAATTTGTTCTTAATATTTACAAATAAAAGATTGCAAGATAAATATGTACAAAATGTTTTATGTCATTAACATATCACATATCTCTTAACCAATGATGCATAATTTACAATTATACAGAATACAGTAAATTATAGATTACATTCACTTTAATGTGTGACAAGACAGTTATTCAATAATTTGGAAATGAATGATAATGTTGTTTCAGAAAGTTTGATTGTTTGAATAACAATAAGAGTATATAATATTAAAACAAGAATTTCTATGTTGTATAAATGTTGCCATCTATCTACTAAAGCAAAATAAATGTGTCGGGAAGCACGGGAACTAAATTCACTTAGCCTTTTCACAGTATGATGGAATTTTCCATCTTCATTGCATAATTTTTCTACAAAAGAAAATATAAGTTTTAATTATAATAAAACATTAATACTTTCCTATACTTAACTTTTGAATATCATACCTGTTGTACTAGTATGAAATTCATGATAAGGAACAGGTAGATATTTGTCCAACAGTAGTTCAACAAAATCAGTAGTGTTATCAACAGTCTTTAAAATACTAATCCCTATTTCAGTTGACATAACTCGATCAGCTTGTTGCCAACTATATATCCTTAAGTAATAAACTTTGTAATAAGTTAGTAATGTCATAATTCTAACTTTATGTTCAGTTTCTTGTTTTAATTCAATAAATGTTTTAACAGCTGGTTCAAGACTCTTGGATACAATAGATTTAGTACGATTTATTATCTGAAATAATAAATTTATGATATACATTTATATTAACTAAGATATTTTGTTAATTAAATCTAATTGACTTATAAATGTAAATATTAAACCTGTTCTGGTTCTTCCTTAATTATAGGCAACTTTACTTCTACATAGTCAAGTCCTTGACAAAATGTTTTATCCAAAGTATAAATTGGCTTCTCCATTAACTTAGCTACTGGTAACGATTTTTCCATTACAGTATTTAGAACATTTTCCATTGTATTAAATGCCCAATGAATAAATACATTTGTTTCTTTTACACGACCATATACTTCCATGGACTTATCCCACAAATAATTTACACTTGGTATTTTGCGTGCACGATTGACAGCTTGTATTTTATAAACATAATCTGGTAATTCTATGTCCATACTAATAGATAATAGTTAAATATTTTGTCATAAATTAACAGCCTGTAAATACACATAATTTTTTGTAAATTATAAATTTTTAAAAGAGATCTTGTTCAATTAGTTATATGAAAAATTATTTCAGTTGAGAAGAGTGTCATTAATTCTTTTTAATATAACTCTTCGAAATGTGTACCCTTATTTAGTAAGATATTTTATACATTATACTTTTAAACTTTATTATTCAATTAAATATATTTGTTTTGTAATTGACAGTTTATATTGATCATCTATGGTCTTCTTAAGTTTTATACACAACATTAATCATTTTAATTACGATTTGTTATAAATTATGATAATTTAATGAAAATTTAGCACACGATTATTAGCATATTCATAATATGACAAATATTTTGCAAATTATATATACACCAAAGAAAGTGATTGATACTTACCCAATATAATAAATCTTCGAAATGCGCACTCTTACATTTACTTCGTTTTTCTCAGTAATTAAACATACACTTTGATTCCCGAGTCGATTTACCGTGGAATTGTTTGCTCGTCAATCGACAATATAATACAAATTATTCTTCTGTTGCAAAGTATTATAAGTCCGTGGAATTTTTTAGAATATGATATCGGTATTTCTTAAAACGGCGTACGAGTGCGCTACTATCATGCTTCCTTACACGTGATATTTTTGCAACTAAAATTATGTATATTGCAAAATTCAATAATCGTGCATTTTATACGCGAATCATTGAAAGTATCTTTTTCTTTTTATACGGAAAAATTTATTTTAAAAAATGGTTATCGAAATGTTTTTCAAATTAATGATTTTGATAATTGTTAAAATAATCTGTAACAAAGAAAACACGAGTTCATTGAACTTTTATATTTATCGTTATAGATGTGACAAATATTCGTTATCTCTTCGGTTTCAGTTTTATTTTAAAAAGCGAAGGTGACCTCTAAATTTTTAAAATGCTCTCTTTGAAATCTTTGAAATTTTGTTCTATCTTCTACCGTTTTAGAGCTTTGACTTGTACTAGTTGCAGAGACCACCCTGTATAATAAATTTTTGTCGAAGTATGTATCAAAGTACACCTTTATCTATGTTCCAATGATCTCGGAACAATAAACTCAATAACATTTGAAACGAAAGAAAGCAATATTTCACCCACATGTGTTAAGGCATTCTTTTTCTTATACTTTCTCTTCATTTAGAGGAATCCTCAGTTGCATATAACTATTCAAAATAATACAGGGTTTTCCTTTTTCTGTGTTCATTCACCTGTATCAATGAGGGTAATTGACACAGAGAGAACGACCCCAGAAATAGCTTGGAAGGTTTTAACTTATTTGATCAACAAAATGAAACTTGATCATTTGTTAAAGCCACAGGTGTTGTGTTACAATATATCATATTCACATTGCGGATGTGAGGTTTGACATTGATACTAAAAAATGTGCTTAACAGGGTATTCCCATTTGAGGTAATTTTTGTTAATTGATTTAAAATTAAACATTAATTGATCAAGGACAATTTTAGCAAAAGTAATAAAGTAATTTAATCTGTTGACAATCATTTCTTGGGATTTTGATTATATAATAGTTATTTGTATTATATTCCTTCCTCAATTTAGAGGCATGTATCCAAATTAAATAATAATAAAATAAATCTGCAAAGTTGTCAACCTATTAAGATATTAAAAATGTTAGAAGTAATGGTGCAAAAATATTTAATAATGCATCAATGAATTTATACAATAAAAATTTAATATTCAAATTCATGTCTTATAATATAATACTTGCAAATTGTTCATATACAAAAAATATAAAGTGCAAATATTTTTTTATTACAATATAAAAGATTCCTAAACTTTACATTGCGAGTGTTTTGTATCACGGACAATAATTTCTTACAACCAAAAATAAACAATTTTGTCAGGTTCTCCAATCGAGATTAAATAATTTTTTATTTGCGGATGTTTATGAAAATGTATATTTTTATAAAAACGATGAGTATAGAAAGTAGATGTAAATATATATATATTTTCTAATTAGACGGATCTAAAAATATATTTATTTTGTGTAGTGCATACTTTGTGCATGTTGCATATTTTATACATACTTTCTTGTATATTTCGATATGTTATAATTGCATAAACATCCGCAACGATATTCTGCTTTTTCACATTTAACAATTATCTTGTAAAAGATTATATAAACTAGTATTTTTAATAATTCTATGTTACTCAGTATACATTAACATAGAACATTATATCATGAATATATAAATACTAGCATAATAAATGTTTCATTCATTTATCTTTTTCTTTTTCTTCGGTTGGACTTTGAGCTTCTTTATCGCTATGTTTGTCATTCAAGCTTAAAAAATGCGTCAGGTGAAGTATAGATACAACATTAGATATGTATGATGATACGTCTTCCTTGTTTACTGTTTTCAACTGTGCTGCTACTGAATGATATACTCTATTTGCAGTCTTTGTTGATAATTGACCAATGGTTTGTACTGCATGTAACACCTTGTTTTCATCAGCTGATACTGGGGCTATAATGAAATTTTTTAATATTTAGATGTTTTATTTTTAAAAAACAGCAAATAGTATTTGCAATAGGAGGGTCATATTAATTGTCTAAAATATTGGCAACTCATTTCGCAAAAAATTTGTTTTTTTGTTCTGCAAATACTATTTATCTTCAAAATCATCAACCTTTTTTCTGTATACACACCAGGTTTGATTTCTTCTTCTTTAACAGGTGGGAAGTAGTGGTCCAGTAAACGATTAATGAGGAGACTTGTGTTATCCACACCTTGTACTGCCATATTACCATACTGTGTGTTCAGTAATTCATTAGCCTTTGCTATACTAATTTCTTTGATTGTAGACGCTTGTTGTGATGCTGATTCTTTTGCAACATGTAGTTTATCAATTGTTGGTTGTAAAGAACTACTCATTACTGCTTTAGCTGCATCATAAATCTGCAAATGATATTCAGTATTACTTTAATATTACCATATAGAGTATTTGAGATTTATGTAGTAAACTGATACTACTGGAACAGAAAATATTTGTTATTCAGTGACATTTAAATATTAATTACAACAAAATTGTTATCAATATTTTCAACCTAATACTACTTAATTAGAACATACACATATATATTATTTTTAATTATTAAAAATAATCTTTATTCTGTAAAGTTTTATTTAATGTTATGTGTGTACCTCTTGTGGAGGCTTTTTCATGATTGGTATTTTTTCTTCAACTATATCTAAACCTTCACACAATTTCTGATCTACCGCAAAAATCTGTCCTTCAAACTTTTTAGCTAAAGGAGTAGTAATGGGAGCAGCTGTAGCTGTTGCATAGTGAAGACCCAATTCAGCATAACTGAGAGCCCAATTGATCAAATGATTAGAATCTTTTATGTAAGAATATGTAGATCCTGTTTTCTCAATTGCTGAATGTATAACAGGAATATTTTTTACACGATCCAGCAATTCAAAATGTGGTGCACTTTCTGTTACAGCATTACCCGTGATTTCTTTGACTTCTTCCATTTTTTCTGAAACATTTAACAATGTTATTGGCAAGAAATATAAACTGAAGTTGTTGATATAAAATATATTAAACAAATATATCAAAACTATGGTATACATTTAGAGTAAGTTTCCTAATAAATAAATAAGCATTGCCTAATAATAATTTTGAAGACAGTGATAAAAGTAAAAAAATAATTGTTGCAAAACATATACAAAATATATGCCTAAAGCTGTACAAATCAGAAACATATAAAAATATTATGTGAGGATTCAGTGATGAAAGTTAAACAGTAATTGTAACAGTTGCAACACATGTGAATCATACTTGTGCAAATAAGAAATATATATAGATTCAAATGTTTTTTAAATGACAAAGTCATTGTACATTACTCAACTCGTTACAAGATTTCGTGTATAATTCATGTTCTGTTAGCTAGAATGTAAATAAAACACATGTTAACAATTATCATGGTCAGACATTTATGGTGTATGAATCATAGACTTTGCAGGTCTTTGCATAAGCATAAGATCACAACTTGCAATTTCATAGTATAAATGAATATAGAGATTTGTACTTTGTACCTTGCTATCATTATCAGTAATTATATATTTTCAACCTAATACTACTTAATTAGAACATACACATATATATTATTTTTAATTATTAAAAATAATCTTTATTCTGTAAAGTTTTATTTAATGTTATGTGTGTACCTCTTGTGGAGGCTTTTTCATGATTGGTATTTTTTCTTCAACTATATCTAAACCTTCACACAATTTCTGATCTACCGCAAAAATCTGTCCTTCAAACTTTTTAGCTAAAGGAGTAGTAATGGGAGCAGCTGTAGCTGTTGCATAGTGAAGACCCAATTCAGCATAACTGAGAGCCCAATTGATCAAATGATTAGAATCTTTTATGTAAGAATATGTAGATCCTGTTTTCTCAATTGCTGAATGTATAACAGGAATATTTTTTACACGATCCAGCAATTCAAAATGTGGTGCACTTTCTGTTACAGCATTACCCGTGATTTCTTTGACTTCTTCCATTTTTTCTGAAACATTTAACAATGTTATTGGCAAGAAATATAAACTGAAGTTGTTGATATAAAATATATTAAACAAATATATCAAAACTATGGTATACATTTAGAGTAAGTTTCCTAATAAATAAATAAGCATTGCCTAATAATAATTTTGAAGACAGTGATAAAAGTAAAAAAATAATTGTTGCAAAACATATACAAAATATATGCCTAAAGCTGTACAAATCAGAAACATATAAAAATATTATGTGAGGATTCAGTGATGAAAGTTAAACAGTAATTGTAACAGTTGCAACACATGTGAATCATACTTGTGCAAATAAGAAATATATATAGATTCAAATGTTTTTTAAATGACAAAGTCATTGTACATTACTCAACTCGTTACAAGATTTCGTGTATAATTCATGTTCTGTTAGCTAGAATGTAAATAAAACACATGTTAACAATTATCATGGTCAGACATTTATGGTGTATGAATCATAGACTTTGCAGGTCTTTGCATAAGCATAAGATCACAACTTGCAATTTCATAGTATAAATGAATATAGAGATTTGTACTTTGTACCTTGCTATCATTATCAGTAATTATATTGTGTACAATATTCTATAATCTTTATATATATATATATATATATATATTTTTAAATTTCTTTCCTTAAAAATTTTCCGTCATAAAACTTTATAAGGATAATATTCCTAAAAATAGCTCATAAATAAAATACCTATATATATATATATATATAAAATAGAAAGTATCAATTGTGGTTAATTTTTGGATCTAGCGGTGTACTGCCAGTGCGGACCAAATCTTTATCAATGTTTCTGTCTTTCAAAATTTTTTACAGTTAATAAATAAATATACAAATATAGATTTTTACAGATTACAAAATTTAATGTATTATGAAATGCTTTTAAGACTATATCGATATACCGGCATCGTAACTTTTAATACGGCCTTGTTGACATAGATCGTAACAGGGATGCAGCAATACAACTTTAGTCGTGAGGATCATGTATCATCTTTTTTGCAAGAATTGAAATTTGTTTATATTTATTCACCTACATAAAAGTGAATTATATAAAACAATATAATTACTAAACAATTTCGATAATTTTAAATTTCAAATTTGTTCCTTTTAAACTTTTATAATGAGATATTTTTTAATTAAATTTTCCTTACATTTGAGTAACTAACAAAAATTTAGGGCCAAGCTTAAACTTGTTAAAAGTAAACTCGGAAAAAAGAGGTATTACAGTATGTAGCTTGTAAACTTGTAACAGTTTTGCAGTACAGTCTTCTGCTATCGAATTATCGATCTTTATTATACAACGCAATCTTTTATTTAAGTATGATGCGCTGTGCAATTATTTTTATCAGACATATTACTGTGTCAATAAAGATTACCGTTTCATTATTTACATAATCGGACAAACAGTTAACTGACGGTGATGACGCATAATATAATACGATTAAAAATAAAGTAGTAATAATAACATTAAATATTCATTACGATAAAATCGTTCGTTAAACTGCAAGTGTTTCTGTTGTTCTCGAATGAATGTGGCAAAAACATGTACTTATGCATTTCTTATGGTTTAAATACAATTACAAGTTTAACTGTCTTTGAATTTTTATTTTGACTAAAAAAAAAAAACACTTCGAATCTTTACGATTATCGTTCGATAATATATCAGTGAATTTGACATCTTAAAATTGTTTCAGATTTAAAAAAAAATTGAAACAATGAAATGTCACAACTGACCTCGTTTGTCTCAAAACGTAAAGTTACCAATTTGTACCTTACAGTTGTAACAATTATTTTTATTATTATTACAGAATTAAGTGCGAACTGATACCATTCTTCAATATATTTAGCAATTTAAATATTTAATTCATTATTGACATACTTACAGTGTTTGATGCAACAGTTTGTACAATGAAGCAACAGTAATTGATCGGTTTATATCCAATAATGCACGCGACAGACTCAATAACACTGGCGACAAGTGTACGCAGAAAACTAAAGTGGCAGAAAATGACGGTAAGTGGGGATAGAGGGTTCTCAGGTTTGTAGGAAGTATTTGTAGAACCCCTCCAATTATCTTACATATTCCACAAACACATTTGATATTTAAATGTAGAGGTTTGTGTGAGTTTGGGACTTTGGAACTCGAGAACTCTAGAACTTTCATGTTAAAAATTTTAGGACTTTGAAATTTGATGACTTTATGAGTTTGCAGTTTTATAACTATGAAATATTGAAACTATGAAAAATAATGTATCACCAACTGTGGCGCGAAAAAGTAAGGTTTATGAAAGTGACTTCTGAGTCCATTATAAAATATTTGTTCTTAACATTCCTATAACAAATCTTAATGAGCACCAAATGTTTTTCAGATTATAAACATAAGCAAATTATTTTCTGTACTACATACATATATATTTAGTACGTTACCTACTTATATATATTTTACATATTTTAAGCTTTGCAAGTTTAGATTTTTAAGCGCCATATTTGATTTGCATATATAGTGAATGCTTTAAATATCTTTTTTAAATTATTGAATGAATTGAAGAATGTGTATAGAGGAGAACTTTGAATTTTAAAGTACAACATGATTAATATTCGCAAACACACGGTGAATGATGAAATGCATATTTGTAAATAAAAGTGATAGATTAAAGGGCACTTTGACGAGTAGCTACGTGAGTAGCTTTATTTCTGTTTCGGCGCAGCTGCCTGTGCGCACGTACGCACTGTCTATGACGTGGAGGTCACGTAATCATTGCTCTACGTTGTACGACGTTGAAGAAAATTACGATGATTCATAGAATTTGGAGAAGCATGATTTGGATGACTTTATGTCTCGATTAATTGCGTGATTTTGATACCTGATGATATTCTTTGACAACGAAAATATGCATACGTAATACGATTATGCGCGTTCTAATTATAAGAGGGACCTTTCAACTCTGCAGAAGGAGATGAGCAACTGATGGTTTAGTGGTTGCTTGATGCAGTACATTATTACAAGTAATTATAGTTATAGTTAATTATAGTAATTATAATTATTAGTTAAGCTGGACTCTTCTTTAATTGTCTTTAGAATCTTTTTAAATTATTTCTAAAGTTTTCTTAAAATTTGCTTAGGCTCTCTTTAAATTCTTTCTACTCTTCCTAAATTTTCTCTGCTCTTCTTAAATTATCCTTAAATTGTCTCTAAATTATCTGCAGACCTAGGTTCTTTCCAAATTCTCTTTAAACTCTTCCTAAATTATTCGTGTGCTTTCTGGACTCCTCTTGGCCTCTGAAAACAAATAATCATTATACAAGACATCTCTATCTATTCCGTTCTTATCATTAATCAAGATAAGGTTATGTTGCACTCATATATACACGTGTTAAACAAATGTAGGAGTTTACAGCAGATAAAGCACTCATCAATTTTAATTAAGCTTTAAATTGTTTCACAGTGCAAATATAGTCTACATAGTGTTATTAGTCAGTCTTTGTTTATCATTTGTTGAGAAACTGCAAGCAAACAAGTGCTTATGGGATATCAGTCTATGCAAATGTAAACACGTGATACTTTCTACCGACAGGACGCATATTTACCGTAGAAATTACGCTTCTCGAGGAAATTATATTTTTATGAATTTGTAGCTAATCTCCTTATCGCATGTTTAATGGATGCTAAATTTAGGAACGGTTTTAGTTTTATCATGGAAAAAGTGATATGGGACATTTGCGTCCCTAGAATATTGTGGATACCAGTGAAATATGCAGGAGTTTGAATAAGCAAATTTTTAAATATAAAATTATTAATTTTATTATTAATTGGATTGATATTTATATACATTTATTTAAATATTTTTTTATGTATATTACATAACGCGAAACAGTGTAATGCGTGTATGATATAACACGCAGTTATGAATGCGTGGCGACATAACATAATTTTATTATATCATAATGCAGGTTTTCATAAATAAAACTTCAATAATTTTTTACATCAAAAATTTATTTCATTTATGTATATACAAAATTAACACGTAATTCTAAATTATGCTTTCATTAACGTCTTCAAATATTAATCAAGTATTCATATTGCTATGTAACATAATGTAACATGTGAATACATTTTTGGGATTTAAACAGCAAGGTTCAATAGAACAATAGAATGTCAAAAGAACATTATAAGCAAAGTGGAAGCAAAAACAAACTTGCGAATATTACGAAGAAGAAAGATATGCTAAGTACATATTTTAAAAAGTTATTACAATGCCATATGTTTTCATTAACACCTATACGTTAAAACCTGTCGACAGATTTCGTTTAACGATACAGCAAGATCGTAAATTAAACCATTACTTAGTATCTATTGAAATAGAAATTTGCTAGACATACTGAATTTAAAAAAATTAAAAACCTTATTATTTACAGTATTTAACTTTCATAAACTTTTAAGTGTCCAAAGTATTTTACGACCTCGCTATATCTCAATAAGAACCGTACTTACAAAATATAGCGTCGATAAAAAAATATGTTATAATGACAAAAATGATTTTACGAAAAGATGAAGTAACGTAGTGTTCTTTTTATAAATACTTCTTATAAAAATAAATAATTCATAGGAAACATAAATACGAAATCAATGGAGTTATGAGTTTCCTTCAGTTCACTTTTTTGATGTCCGCATTCGAGACATTGTTCGAATTTGTTGCATGATCCTCCGGCTTATGTTTTAACGAATGTAGGTAATTTGTTAATTGTAAAAATTGTGCCACAGATCTAATGTAAGCTTTAAAATTGTCCATGTTGAGGATCCTTAAGTGGAGCATTATATTCGCGTACACTCGACGAGCAGCTTTATTGGATAAACGGCTAACAGTTTGCAGTGTGTGCAGCAGTTTATCTTCTTCGTTTGTGTTTGTCACTAGAATGAAAGTAAATTGTTGTTTATCGAATGGGGGATTTATGTGTTGATTAGTTTTTATAGAAATTTTTATTAACCTGTACAATGTATAGGGGAGAGTATGGTAGGTTTGTCTAGGGAAAATGGCGACGTAGGAGGAAGATCAGTGATGCAGATGTTTTTAGTGTTTTTTTTTAAGTTATAAATTTTTATATTTAGGACTTTGGGGAATTAGTGTATTTGGGGATTTGAGATCTGACGATTTGATTTGCTGAAAATTTGGGTATTTGGGGATTTGGGAATTTAGGAACTAGGGAATTTAGGAATTTGGGAATTTAGGAATTTAGGAATTTGGGAATTTGGAAATTTAGGAATTTGGGAATTTAGAAATTTAGTAATTTGGGAATTTGGAATTTGGGGATTTAGGAATTTGGGGATTTGGAAATTTAGGAATTTGAGAATTTGGGAATTTAGGAATTTAGGAATTTAGGAATTTGGGAATTTGGAAATTTAGGAATTTGGGAATTTAGAAATTTAGTAATTTGGGAATTTGGAATTTGGGGATTTAGGAATTTAGGAATTTGGAAATTTGGAAATTTGGGAATATAGGGATTTAGGAATTTGGGAACTTAGAAATTTGGGGATACAGGAATTTGGGAATTTGAAAATTTGAAAATTCGAAAAATAAAAAATTTGTGAATATAGGGAATTATAAATACCATTACTATTACAAAAAATCAGATAATTACTTAAATCGTAAGATTGTAAATAAATTATTTTACCCATTGTTTGTTCATCTTCGGTCGGTATAAAATATTTATCGATCAGTTTATCGACAATATCGGCAGTATTATCGAAACCCCTGACTGCCGCGCTGCCATATTGCGTTTCCAAAATCTGATTTGCTTTGTTCCAACTCTTGTCTCTCAAGTTTGCAGCACGTGCAAGTATTAAGTGATTAACGGATGTGATATTCGATAAGGTTTGTACTGCTATCATATACGCATTTTCTATAATCTAATATAAATCACAATTTATATAATTAGTATAATATCATAATGAAGTATTTATATAATTAATTCGTTAATGAATTTGTGTAATAAATATAAAATAAAATGACTACTTTATATAATTACTATGAAAATAATAATAATACAACAATTCATAACTTGCTGAATTAATTTAATAATTGATAATAAAAAATTAAAAATGAAATAACATTCATAACCTAACCAATAAAATTCGTAAATCCCTCATGTAATCTAATATCAGTTATCCAATTATTTACTAGAATTAACAATTACACAAATATAAATAATATCAAAAGAAGAAACAATATTTATGTAAATATAATAATATAAAAAAAATGTTATCGTCAAATAAACCTCGTTATAAAAAATTTCTTACTTTTCAGTATCAGTTTAAAAATTAAACCATAAAGAATTGAAGAAATATAAATTATATAAATAGAAATAACTTTCGTATCTTTTATTTCAAAGTAATCTAAAGTTTTGTTTTTTCGTTAACCGGAAGAAAGGTAGATTTCTAACCTGCTCAGGTTTCTCTTTAACCAACGGAACTTTTTCTTCGATTTTATCGAGACCAAGGCACAACGTGTGGTCAACAAAGTGTATGAGGTTCTCGAGTTTCTTCACGATAGGGGCAACAGTGGGTACCGCTTGTTTAGTCGCATTGCTCAAAGAAATTTCTGCAGTGGTGAAAGTCCAATGAACCAACTGATGGCAGTCTTTCACGCGCGAATAAGTCGCCATTGATTTTGATACGGCACTCTCTACCACCGGAAGTTCTAAGAGACGATGGAACACCTCGATGTGAGGAAGTTGCGCTACTTCCGTCGTCATTTTCTTCGGATTTTAGGTACTTTCGAAGTTACTCCGAAATATCTAAAATGTTTAAATATTTTACTTGGATTTTATGAAATGATTTTGTGTTTGTTTGTAAATTACTTAATGTATTAATGTATTTAATAATTCAGTGTTGTATACAGAATTAATTATACTAATTTTATTTTTTAATTTAAGTAAAACCGAAGGACCTGAAGATTTACTGCTACTTGTTTAAATTAATATGAAAATATAAGTTGATGTATTCTAATATTTAATTCAATGAGTCAGTCAGTGTTTTTCAAATTTAAGCTTCTAATTTGGTGTTTTAGATAATTAGTACTATATTAGTGCTATTTAAATGCATTTTTGTGAATGCTTTTATTAGTGAATTGAATAATTGCTGCAAGTTGAAAAAATAATATAGATACATCAATTTATTTATTGTTTCTAAAAATGTGAAACTAATTTATGTAATTTTTTTATCAAATTCAACTTTACACAATATAAGAGTATCTGTGTAAGTAAAATATTATACTGTATATTAAACATTATAAAATAATATAAAATATAAAATATAGAAAAATAATTTAATATTAAATTAATAAATAGCTTATTAAGTTTAAAAATTTTAATTATATTATAAAAATACAGTAAATTTATATTTGAATAATAATTGATGTTCTAATATGTTTGACTACAAATGTCTATATTCATTGATTGATTTTGAATTAATGTTATTAGCGCCAGCAATTTAATACTTTCACGGTTGCATATTTCATGGAATTCATGACTCGCAATTTTTCATTTTTTGTCTTTCATGTGAGATCATCGAGAGGACTATATTCGAGAATTATTTGTGATTTAAAATTTCACATGAAATATCACGTTTACTTTTATGTTTAATATTATTTAATATACTATTTAACTTATATTAATAATTCTTAACTGTTAATTAATGTATTAAGTACTATTAAATATTCATGTTTATATTAATAATTAATCTTAATATCTATCTATTGTGTTATTTATTTAATAAAAACAGTAACTAATTATTTTATTTCTAGATAATATTAAAATATTACTTTCACTTTATTTTACCAAATAATAAATTGAAAATTGCTATTGCAAATCAATTTGTCATTTTAAATATATAAAATTGATGATCAATAAAACTGATATATTAAAATTTATACTATTTATACTAGATGATGTTAACATAATACTTTAACTTTATTTTACCAAATAATAAATTAAAAATTGCTACTTTAAATCAATTTCCCATTTCAAATACATAAAATAGATCATCAATAAAACTGATACATTAAAACTAGTACTATATAAAAAAATAATATAATAATGCTTCTACAAAAAGTGATTTTATAGTCTACTTAATTTCAAAGCATTTAAAGAACGTTCATTATAAATTTCAGACTCAAAACGCGGAAAAGAAGTATCGCGATAATGCAGAGGTCAATGGACTTGCTGAATATTGTACATACATACATACATACATGTGCTATATATAACATTTCCTTAGCTTTCGCTGGAACCGTGATTTCGCACAAGCTTTCACGAATTACAAACTTACACCTTCTAAAGTTTTGAAATTGAAAGTCAATACAACGGTATTAACTTTCACCTTTGACAGTTTTGTAGAGGTTCACCGTATAAATTCCTTCTCTTAAGTGATTACTGTTATGTTTCAATTAGGATTATTAGTCAGTTGACTTTCATGAGGGTCATTTCAAATTTTAATATATAATTAATTACTGAATAATTAATCTGAACAAAGGACAGTTTTGTACCAACATGAGATTAAATTTGACAAATAAATATAATTGTCAATAATAATAGCAATTAATTTTATGAATTTTGAAAATTATCACTGAAAATTGTTGAATTTTTGTAATTTCAGATTTTGTATTTTCTGATTTTGTTTGCTAATTTTGTGACTCTTCTAAAAGAGTCAAATATTAATTAGATAAATAATTGAATGTAGAAAAGAATCGTTTCAATAGCAGTAATATTATAATGTACTGTATTGAATTAGAAACTGAAATTTGAAAAATGATTCGCATTCAGAGTATCTCTACTTTCACGTTGAAAATAAATTTATTCTGAGTGAAAGATTTAAAACCGATTTGTTCATGTCAAACAACTAATCATTGTCAGATAAGAGTAATAATTAATAATAAATGAGATAAGTCACTTTGAATACTTATTACATTAATTTAATATTATTACAAAATTAAATACCAAACTAAAAATAGAAATTGGAAATTAAATTTTGAACAATTGCACCTACTTACATACGCACTTACATTACCCATTTACATACCCATTTAATAATAATTAAATCAGTACTAACTAACACTAATAACATTACATTAAATTTTATAAACGTAGTATTAATATAAATTCGTATAATCGCATAATGTTCCAAACTATAAACTTAACATTCGAATTTCTCAAAATTGTCTATTAAACAGAACCACAAAATTCTCCAAACACATACTTTTAATATCTAATACACTTACATGTTTTTTTGTTGTTGTTGTCCGTTGGTACACTAATCGTTAGCGATACGGTCGCGACGAGTGCGCGCGTGGAAATGCGTTTGTTCAAACGCAACCTCAACTCTTATAACCGGCTTACTGTCTGCGTGCTAAGGTTCGTACGAACGAGCCAATGAAAATCGACTGGTGAATATCCGCAAGCGGTGATCAAACATGTGCTACAAGCTACACAAGGCTTCAAAGTCCGCGACAGACGACAGGGCTTTTGTCGTTATCAGCACCGCTGGGGAACTGTCACGTAAAAACGGATGAAAATCGGTGATCATTCGCAATCAGTCCTCGGCATCCGGGGAGGACTTTGTACATATACGTTTTATAGGCAAACTGGAATTTTAATGGGAACTCTTCTGTCACTGTTTTAGGCGGATATTAGGTGCATTTTGGTAGCTCTATTTTGCACTATTTTTTAGTAATAAATAGTTAGAACTTAATTATTTATTTTCATTAAGTTATATATATATAGCAAAATTGTAATTTTAATTAGAATTCTTCTATGATTGTTAAAGTTGGATAATCGGTATATTTTGTTAACAGCATTCTGTTCTATTTTTTAGTAATAACTAGTTAGAACTTAACTATTTATTTTCATTGAGTTATATATATACCAAAATTGTAATTTTAATTAGATCTCTTCTATGGTTGTTAAAGTTGGATAATCGGTATATTTTGTTAACAGCATTCTGTTCTATTTTTTAGTAATAATTAGCTGGAATTCAATTATTTCTCTTCATTGAGTTATATATACAACAAAATTGTAATTTTAATAGGAACTCTTTTATGATTGTTTTAGTTGCATATTAGATGCATTTTGTTAACAGCATTTTGCACTATTTTTTAGTAATAATTAGTTAGAACTTAATTATTTATTTTCATTGAGTTATATATATACCAAAATTGTAATTTTAATTAGATCTTTTCTATGGTTGTTAAAGTTGGATATTAGGTACATTTTGTTAACAGCATTCTGTTCTATTTTTTAGCAATAACTAGTTATAACTCAAAATGTTGTGACTATTTTGTATTCAATGGTATTTGACTATACAAATTATAATTGGACTTGAACTTCAAATTGAAATGTATTAAATGTTCAAGCAAGATTGAACTGTAAGTGCACATTGGGTACATTTAGTAAGGGAGAATTTTTTATATGTATCTACTCCATTTTCTAGTGATAGCCAGTTTGAATTCCACCATTTTTCTCCATCATGTTATATAAATATACACCATAATTTTATTCTGAAATAGAACTTTTGTATGATTGTCTGAAATAGATGATTTGGGTACAAGATACATTTTATTAGTAAGAGAGTACACTTTTTAAATATGTATCTACTCCATTTTCTAGTAATACTTAGTTAGAATTCAACCATTTCTGTTCAATGTGTTTTATATGTACACCAAAACTACATTTTGAATTAGTTTAATAATTATTACTTCTATAATAGTTTAATGTAAATGATTTGACTATTAAATATTTATACATTGTTTTTGAAGTTAAAGAATTTATTATTATTATTAATTACTATCATTAATATTAATACTTATAATAATTACGAAATTAATTATACTAAAACTTATGTTAAAGCTATATCTTCATTATATACATTAAATTTTGTTAATATTTTCAGTTATATTTTTTAAAATAATTTGACTGAAATATGCATAACGAATATTATTAGTAAAAAAGAAAATTTATAAGTTTATTTTCGTATGTTCAAAATTAAACAAAAATTAGACAAACGTTTTATATAAATAATTATAGAATAATTAAAATTTTCAATGACTTAAATTATAACTGAACTCATTCGTCTATTAGTCTTATCAGTCACGACATTTCAGTGTGTATTACTATTTGCAAACATTCCTTTCTACTATATTTGATAAGAAATGCGATAATTAAGTTCAAAGTAACATTAATATTTCAAAAAGTCTGTGTACTTTTACCTCTTTTACTATTTCTGAGTTTCTTCATATATTTTATTCTCATTAAAATTTTTTTACGAATATTTCATTAATTAAATAATTTGAGTTTATTTATTAAGTTTACATATTTGTTCTTTTATATGGGAGCATTCTTATATAAAGAGTGCAATATACAATTTCATTCGATAGAATAATATTTTCATTAATATTGGCTACATATGCAATAAAATCGAATTGTTAATATTAAAGATACATTTTTCGAACAGCACAAAAATTGCACTGTAAGAAAACAAGCAACATAGGATGTTGATAATATTTTTTCTAGATGGCGTTGCTTTAAACTTCTGATCTCTGTCTTTTCAAATATAATTTATATTTTTTATGTAGATCAGTTCTTCAAAATATTTTATATAACAATTACAATACATCTGATGTGATTCTATCATTACAATTAGTATTTTTAACTGTATATTAGTATTATTCTGTAAATTTTATAACTATCATTTGGAACTAAAATGTTCCAAAAAGAGTAAAATGTCATATTTGACAAAATTTGAAGATTATCAACAATATTCAAAATACGACTATTTATATCCACTCACATTATAGAATATTTACATACATTATATAAAATTGAAAATTTTTATTGAAAAAAAATTAAAAAAAATGTAATTTATTTTTCCCGAAACTACCCCTTACAACACACCACAAATCCATCATAAAATCCATTATAAACTTGACAAATAAAAAAAGAACAAATTTAATTGATGGTATAATAACGATCCAAAAAAAATTAATCTTTATTTTTGTACACTTCCTTACTTTTACAAATTATTATACATTTGTACGCTAGAAGCTAAAGATAGACAATAAAGTCTTAACAACAACAATTGTAAGCTAAAATTGACACTAGTATATTGTGCCATTGATTAAAATATCGTCGTCTATTTGATTCTTTTTCAAGAATCGTGTTATGGCGGTGGATCGGACGTTACTAACCTCTGTTGTGAAATATCAATCCGAAGTCTTTCTTACTGTTACTGACCTTGAAACAAAAACTACTGCGAAATTGTTCAAACAGAATAATCGCGATTATGTTACTCTATACCATTTAACGGCGGATTGGAGGACATCGACATGTGGTTGTTGTGATTCTGTTGATGGCTCGGGACGTGCGTTATTTTCGAAACAGTTGGACGACCAGCCAGAAAAGCAGCAAATTGTTCCTACAAAAAAATAAAAAAAATAATAAGAAAAAAAATATACTGATCGAATTGAGTAACCTCCTCCTTTTTCGAAGTCGGTTAAAAAGAGGATCGTTATAGAGCAATATAGAGGATGAATCATTAGATTGATAAGAAATAAATGGCCGAGTTAAAGATGGTTGATGACGTCATATTACTATCATAAAAATTTATCATGGAGAGCAGTGAAATAATTTTTTCAAACTTTATCATTTTTACAGACTACTTCAAGAAAATCGTTCAATATAAACACTACTATAATTCAAAATAATTCTTTCATCAATTTGATCATTTATATAAACACTTTGAAATGGACTGCATATGTAACATTGAAACAAATTCAAACAAATTGGAATAAATCTTACAAAGGAATATTTGTAGAATTAATACTGTCGTAATAGTTTTAGAGTCAATTGTTTTTATTGTTTAAGAAGAATTATATAAAGTTATTACGTACCAATAAATTATTCATGGTTGCATTGATCCTTTGTATGGCTGAACGTATCACTGAAATCTGTTGTTTTGCAGCATCCTTCTTGCCAATGATAGGCATCATCTTTAAAAAAATAAGAAATGACATAAATATATATGTCTAAGGTTTTCTGTGAACTTTGATATTGATGTAGGTTAACTGTATTCAACATGCAAAAGTGTAACATGGTGTAATATGAAACATTACAATATTTCAATAAATAAGTAACAAATAAGTAACACAATCAGTGACCATGTAAAATATTTCGTTATGAACAAAAAACAATCCTACTGACGCTTGACCTTGAATAGTTGTAAGCATATAGCTATAGTAAAACAATTTTTAAGTTAGTCTTATCATAGTTTTCTAAACCTTAATCTGAGATGTTATGAATCAATGTAACATAGTACAATATTAATCTTAATAAAATTGAAAAATTTTTATGAATTTCATACTGTTATCAAAGCTGACTGAAAAAAATAATAATCGATCGTTCTTATCAACAGAGATAAACAACATTAACAAATTATATTAGAGATATTAATCTCTTCTGTTCTCGAAATTAATCTTACATTAAACTTGTGATATGTATTTAATTTAGTTTGAACTAAAAATGTTAACTTCATGTGGTACCTCTCCACCACTTCAACGTCACAATACAAACATTAAAAATGTTCGTAAATTAATTCAGAATGAAAGTACATTAATACAGTGTTACACAACATGCACCACATGTTAATTACAACTTTAATGAACTAATAATTCTATAAGACATCAGTGGTTTTGTTCTTCCGAATTGCAAAGTAGTTAACTGTCTACCATCGCTTTTTTCCTTCCGTAGAAAGTAGAACAAAATTGAAGATCTCTCCACGTTTTGTATTTTTGTACGAGTGAAGACGTTAACCTGTAAAGTAGCGTCTGCAACCGCGAGCAGTTGATGTGAAAGTTTCATGAGAATTCTGCCAACATCGCGAGGAGTTCTTGCTGCTAACGCTGTTGTTCCATTGACCAGATGAACGATGCGACGTGCAGATTCGCGAGTTAATAAGACCAGTAATTGTTCCAAAGTAGCTGGTCGAGCTTGGTTCTCCGGTTCGGGTAAACTTAACGTTGCCCATAGTTCCTTTGCCTTTTTGTACGCTAATTTTGGATCTGTTGCTAGCTATAACATCATTGTTCCATTAGTTTTGTGAAAATCGTGTGACAATTAAGTTACAGATTTTTTAATTTTTGTATTTTTATATTGCATGCGACGCACTGATTATTCGATTAACGGGAATAAAGCAGTTTATCAAAGTTAGACTTCAAAGTTAGATGTTAGACTATAAAGTTACGCTTCATGTTTCAAAAAACTTTCAGTTTTCATGATAGAAAACACTATAATCCTTGTTCTACGTTAACAAGTCTTACAAGTAGAGTTTAGTTCTTTTCTTATTAAATATTTTTAAATTAACTAAAACTAGCATGTAAATATTCAGAATAAAACTATAAATGTGGTTATTATAGAGTTGCTCTTAAAAATTTGTAATGAAAAAGTACTTATAAATAATGCGTCAATTATTTCGACGATTTAATACTCGCGGTAATTTATGCGCATGTGCAGTACGTGTTTCCCACTTCGAACGCCATATTGCTTTTCTGACTTCATTCGAATTACATTCTCTTTCCTGCGTTTGATTCAGACTTGATTGATCAATATATGAAATAATAAATAAAGATACTTACTAGTTCTACCACGTATAAAAGTACATGAATGCATTCTGTTCCCTGTTCTTTAAGCGCTCGAGCCTCCGCCAAAGTACGACGCGTCAATCGTTTCTGCAGTTTTCTAGAAAGCCTGGCGCCATGTTTAATCGTTCGTGTAGTTTTGCTCACTGATTCAGAAGGAGTAATCTCTGAATAGTAATGTCAGGCGATTACTTACTATATTAAACTTTCTTCATAAAAAATTTAATTCGTATTTTTAAGGGATTTACCTTCTTTGTCAGTTGGATCAGCAGGCAAATAATGATCAACGTATTTATCCGCGACAGTCAAAGCACCGTCCAAAGTGTCGGCTGCGACGCTTGCAGCTTGACTTCCTATTTGCTTCACGCTTCCGGCGCGCATTAAAACTGGCCTCACGATTTTGTTGTTCACGTATGCTCGTGCGTTGCAGTACATCTGAATAATACAACGTATACGTTACTTTTATTGTAAAGAGACAATTTAATTATTAGTAATTTACATATATATTAGTGTGCACTGTATGCTTTCTTGTGTAATTGACACTTAGAAATGGCGATATAGGAGGAGTCTCTCAGTAGACTCACAGTACTGAATATTTATCAAGTGAATGAAGTAATTAAAAATAATATGGATAACATAAGATTTGAATATTTATATTATCTACATGTATATATGTATGTATTTCAATAAATAGTATGTTTGTATTTTATCAAAATGGCGGACATTATTTTTAAACGAACATTTCAATATATTAGTATATGACTGTTTTATCATTAAAATATTTTTCAAGGACCTTATATTGTTGTTTTTTTATACAAAATCATACTTTGTTCAGTATTATATGTACATGGACTTACAAGATGTGGAGGAAGGTGTATGGCTGGCACTCTCTGTTCAACGATATCGATACCTTTGCAAAGCAATTGATCAATCGTCGTAATTGGCCCATTCAAAGCATAAATTGCAGGTTTGGCGGATGCTGTCGCAATAGCCAGTGATTGTTCAGCAGTGCATAAACTCCAGCTCATTAGATAATTCGAACGCTGAATAATAAAATTACTATTAATACAAATGTTTAGTTATTAGATCTGTACATAGTTAATACTTTAATTAATTTAATTAAGTAAGAACTGTTAAATATTATATACAAAATTTGCAGGGATATTTTAATACTTTAATTAATTTAATTAAGTAAGAACTGTTAAATATTATATACAAAATTTGCAAAGATGTTTTAATTTTTATATTTTGGAAAGATGTAGGTAGTTAGTGTTTCATTGAGTATAAAGATGGCGTTTCACGGAAGTAAACGAATGAAAGATGAGAGAAAGTAACCTTAAAATGGACTTTCTAGTTATTAATTATTTTAGTTACCTACCTTTATTCTATCGTACACGCTTCCAGCAATGTGTATACTATTTTCGACGATCGGAAGGCTTGTGATCCTTACGACGGATTCGAAATGCAGCAAATCGGAATGCCGTCTTTTTACGTTTGTCCGCGCCATTTGCGAATTCGCCTCTGAAAGAAATCCAATATTATTTATTAATTTAAAGAGGGACTATTTTGGTAAGGATACGGCTTTTTGAAAATAGTAAGGATATAAAGCAATGATGAACTATTATTAATTTAATATTTTAGTAGTCTACTATTTTACTATTTTATTATTTTACTATTTTACCAGTGGTGTGTTTTACCATTTTGGTAGTTCAGTATTTTACTTTGTGTTTGTTCTACTATTTTACCATTTTACCTTTTTATCATTTTATCATTTTGTTAGATTAGTATTTTACTTCTTGTTGTTCTACTATTTTACCATTTTACCATTTCATCATTTTAATATTTTATTATTTTATTAGTTTACTATTTTACTTTTTTGCTGTTCTACTATTTTACCATTTTACTATTCCATCATTTTACTAATTTATCATTTTATTACTTTACTATTTTGCTTCTTGCTGTTCTATTATTTTACCATTTTACCATTCCATCATTTTACTATTTCATTACTTTATTGGCCTACTATTTTACTTCTTGCAGTTCTACTATTTTAACATTATACCATTTCATCATTTTACTATTTCATTATTTGATTAGTACATTATTTTACTTTTTGTTCTTCAATTACTTTACCATCTTATTTTACTACGTTACTATGCTACAATGCTCCCATTGAATTTCATAATAGCGCTATTATATCATTTGCTTATTTCATCATATTACTATAACGTTCTATTATTTTATTATTCCATTAAATATTTTTATTATACATCTTAGTATTTCATACCAAATATGATTCTGAATTTACTTTTCTTATGACATCAACAATTATAATTGGAACAATAATTAAACAATTGCAATAATTCATAATTGTACGAAACATCTGTAAAATTTGTCTAACGAATTTCGAGCCTCAACACAAAAGCACCCGTTAATCAAAGGAAATGAATTATATAGCAACCGATAAGAAAGGTCACCTTAAACTTCTCGGTAACCACCGAAATTACTTTCCTCAAAAAAAAATTCAAATACACCTCACATAAAATTCAAACCCCAACAAAATCACTTACAACTACAAAATTCAATTACAGCTACAAAAATCAAACAAACAAAAATCATCAAAAGCAGTTTATTGTTAACTTCGAAATTATCACCGCAAAATTTCGAATCCAATGTTGACAACCTGACGTCAGGCGTTTTAAGTTTGCCACGATAAGGCCATTTTAAACACAGGTCGATACCCCTGTCCTTATCACTGTTATCGAAGCACCGCAAACTTCAAATTGTTGCAATCTAATTAAACGTTCTCGAAAAAAAAGCAGCTTCGTAATCTCGAAAAGTGAAGTTCTTCTCAAAAAAAGAAGTTATTTAACTTCGCGTTAATCACGGCTCGAGTAATTGAACGAGCAGTCGAAAAAGTAAAATGGTGTACAGAGAGGAATCTGTCGAACGTGAAAATTTGAAGTTGAAGGATTAACTTGGTCGAGTGGTTGTTCGCTTACCTTTATCTTTTCGATTATCGACGTTTGACGAAGCCGTGGTTGTTATTGTTTTAGTGCAAATTATATAACGAAATGTAGAAGGACGCGAAGACAGATGGAACAACAGGGAACTAGTCGGTGTTTCGTCGAAGAACACGCTGTAAACTGCACGTCGTGGTCTGCGAAACGGTATCTCATCGGCTTGACCTATGACACGTTGATTATACAGGCGCGGCAATCATAATGCTTTGCGAATCAAACTTTTCTCGGCTTTCGTTCCGAACTTTTGATCGGCATCGTCAGCTGAGCAAATTTTTCTCGAGCGTGGCGCTCCTTGGCAACTTTGATATCTGCCGGGTTAGGGGATTTGAGGTTTTCGAGTTTCGCCGGCCGGAAATAGGGACTTTAGGGATTTTTGCTGAAGTTCAAATTTTGGAGCTTGAGTATGTAGAAATATGGGGATTTTAACATTTGAAAATTGCGAATTATTACAAAATTGAGTAATTGAAGGATTATGAAATTGGGGAATTAAAGAATTGAAGAATTGTATAACTGAAGAATTCAATTGAATAATTGAAAAACTGAAGAATTGAAGTACTGAAAAATGGATAATTGAATAAATGAAGAATTGAATAATTGAATGATTGAGTAATTGAGTAATTGAAAAATTGAATAATTGAAAAACTGAGGAATTGTAGAACTGAAAAATTGAATACCTGAGTAATTGAAACATTGAAGATTTGAAGGATTGAAGACTTGAGAGATTGAAAAATTGAAAAATTGAAAAATTGAAAAATGGAAAAATGGAAAAATTGAAAAATTAAAAAATTAAAAAATTGAAAGATTGAAAAATTGAAAAATTGAAAAATTGAAAGATTGAAAAATTGAAAAATTGAAAAATTGAAAAATTGCGAAATTGCGAAATTGAAAAATGGAAAAACTTTCAAATATAATAATCTCAAGTTTAATGATTTAAAATTTGAATAACTTCAGCGAACTTTTAAACGAAAAAAATTAAAAATTAATATCTAGCAACAAAAATGCCTTCGAGTGTTAAGGGTTAATATCCCCAAGAAAAATGCAATTCCATCATCTCTTTATTTATCATTAAATCTCGATTACTTTATACTTTATTACAGATTTCATTTATTCAAAATAAACAATACAATTCAATTATTACAATAATCAATCAATATATAATTAAGAAGTGAATAATTTATTATATTCGCCACCCCAATCGTAGATGACTTGTGCACTGATTAAATCCGTCGATCCAATAACATTTATAGTAACCATTTTCCACGAGCATCTTCTATGACGGTAAACAGCGGAAACGTGAGATAATTTATCAACTTGGTTTATGGCGTCGAATCATTTTTATGTAATACAATTTATTGTACTCTATTCGTGTTATGGTATTTTCCATTCCGTCTTCGTGTTCTTCATACGATCTTCGCAAGACGAACACGCGGAGACAATGAAATTTTCTGGTAGCAACGAAGTTATAGACCTACACTTAATAATAGCCTTAGAAAATTTATAATGGAAAAAGAAACTACGCGGAAAACTCGAAATTATCGCCGGCAGACGTTGTTAATTGCTATACAAAGTCCACCACTTCGAACATTCACTGGAGTGTATTATGGGATGATGGTATGATAATCGGTTGGGTGAGTGTGAACAAAAATACGTCTTATTACTTTTCTATTTAACATGGTTTTTGGGGAAAGGTGGTTAGGATGAAAAATTATTCGAAATTTCTTTTTGTAGTGACAAAGAGAGGAATAGTATTGAATAAATAGTATTGAGATTTTTAATGCGTTTATTTATGTGCAATTTTGTTGATTACAGAGTCTAGTATGATTGATACTTTAGCTTAGACATCTTAGTACCTTGAAAAATAATATTTCAACAAATTATAATTAATCAACGAAATGTTGCAATGTATTTGTAGCTTCTCTTTATGGTAAAATAAATAAAGAAATTAATGATGTTTCCTTTTGTGATGGGTTTATTTATGTACAATTTTGTTGATTACGGAGTATTAAATATCTAGTATAATTGATAGTTTAGCTTAGACATCGTAGTACCTTGAAAAATAATATTTCAATAAATTATAATTAATCAACAAAATGTTGCAATGTATTTGTAGCTTCTCTTTATGGTGAAATAAATAAAGAAATTAATAATGTTTCCTTTTGTGATGGGTCTATTTATGTGCAATTTTGTTGATTACTAAGTATTAAATATCTAGCATGATTGATACTCTAGCTTAGACATTTAATATCTTGAGAAATAATATTTCAATAAATTATAATTAATCAACGAAATGTTGTAACATATTTGTAGCGTTTCTTTATGGTAAAATAAATAAAAGAAATTAATAATGTTTCCTTTTGTGATGGGTTTATTTATGAACTATTATATTTACTATTGAATATTAAATATATTTTAGCATGATACTCTAACTTTTCGAATGTATTTAATACAGTATAACTAATCAACGTTGTAAAGTATTTGTAGCTTCTCTTCATAGTAGCATAAATATAGAAATTAATAATATTTCCATTTATAATGGGTTTATTTATAAAAAACTATGTTCATTATTCAATATTAAAGATATTCTAGTATGATTTATACTCTTAAACATTTAATAAATTAAAATTATGCATCAACGAAGCCTGAAGAAGTGTTTGAATATAATTTCGCGCCATTCAAAGCGACGCCATATTGGCAGCTAACTTAATTCCGCTCTAATTGCAACCTTGCTAATATTTTACATTATATTAGCGTAAAACACTGTAAAGTTAATGTAAAAAATATTTATATTTGTAATAAAAATCATGTACAATAACAAAAGAAAAGAACAGAAACATTAATATTAAATTTTTGGTAATTTTTCGAACGATAGGTATTTCGATGGATCGCAGATATATTAACATTAAAAAGCATTTTAAAAATGAGCTCATTGAAGATAGATTAAAAGTATCACATAATTCAAAGAAACAGTTACATTTTACCCAAAAAAATATAATCTTGATAAGAAGATATAGTTGGTAATTAATAGGATTACTCATAAATAAGTTAATTACATCGTTCATTTTTTATGTAGTTCGAAATAAGAAATGTTTCGAAAACATTCTCACGCCACATTTTTGATAATTTATTTTATCTGGGTAAAATTAACCTACCACTGAGAACATTTATAAATTGCTATTGTCAATTATTATTTCGTAAATATTAATTACATTGAATTTTATGAAATTTATATATATTAGATTTCTGCACCCACTAATTCTCCATATATTGCATTTCCGACATATCAAAAATGTAAAAGATCTCGAAATATAAAAACTTTACAAAGAAAACAAATATGGCTGTCAAAGGATACTTTTTTTGCAAGAGAACAAGACAACACTACTTAATTTTTAATTTAAATTTAAAAATTGAATGATTAATTGACTAAATATTGCTCACAAATAGAAAAGTAGAGAAAGTAGAGGAAATATACTAACTCAATAAGACAGATAGATGTTATGGTGCAGCAGATTAGATATTCGTTTTAACATTCAATACTGATTTCTATTCTATACAGCTGTCCGGTTTTTTACCACTTTTCTGACGATATGAAACGCAAGTACTGTATGAACCTAACTATCATTTAATATATGATGCAATTATTGCATCCAATGTACTTAATAAATCATTTCCTGCTTCATTATCCATGTAATTAAACTGGGATTGATGAACTAACTATGTAGCAACATAACACTATCTTATTGCTATTATTACCGTTTTATATTAACTATTGTTTGCATTTATTTTATCGTAACAATTTCCTAATTTATTTTTTAATCGTAATTATCATTAATTGAAAGATGGAACTGATAGAATCAATTAAGATAGAACTGATACAAAATTTATTAACATATTGATAGATTTATTAGTGTTCAAATATTTATAATTTTAATAATTTTAAAGCGTGATTATAGATTTAGAGATACACTAGATTTATTTCTTGATTTTTTGTGAATTTAAAAATTGCTTTTATTTAAGAGCAAAATTATTTAATATTAATTCATATATTGTATTGTGTTCTAATATTAATATCAGAACTATTGCAGTATTAATTAATATTGTATATTATTGTTATAATTTACAATTATTTTAATTATCATACTGTTATTAAAAAATATCCATCAATAACTGTTTCTCGAGTTATAAATTATTATATTATTAATTAATATTAAAAGAACTTTAAACACTTAATTACTCCGTTCTCAAGAAATGAACAATACAGTGTAAATATTGTTGCAAACACATTAAATCTACAGTATTAAATTAAAAAAATAACTAATTCTCCAAATTAATGATATGAACGTATTCAGCATGTTTATCATCCAACTGTTTTATTTCCTTTAAATATTCAAAAGCTTAGCGTTTCAAAGAGTAAGCACGAACATGTTAGGTATAAAATAGTCATGATAACGTTAGCTACATTAATGCTATTTTTGTAATTATCAGGATATGCAACTTCAGCAGATATTTGTCTTGAAATGTCAACAAATGTCAGTTTCAGTGCAACGAATAAATTATATGACATGTTTAGACTATTACGTATTGATAATCTAAAAAGACTAATGTACAGATAATTTGTTTTCATAATTAGTGCTGAGAATGTACTAAACATTCAAATTGTCATTTAATTAAATTTAAGTACATACACAGTTGACTTGGAACTTTAATTCTTGACTTTAAACTTAAATTTAGATAAACAATTTAGTTGGAACTTAAATTCTTGATTTTAAACTTAAATTTAGATAAACAATTTAGTTGGAATTTCAATTCTTGACTTTAAACTTAAATTTAGATAAACAATTTAGTTGGAACTTAAATTAATTTCAGTAAATAATTTAGTTGGCACTTGAATTGATTTCACAAAATAATTTAGTTAAAACTTAAATAAATTTAAGTAAATTTAAACTTCAATTAATTAAGTAAACAATTAAGTTGCAGTTTAAGTTCTTTTAAAATAGAATTTAAGTTAAAAGAATTAAGTTACTAAAAATTAAAATTAAATAAGTATTTTAAACAAAATTTTAATTAATTGAAATAAATGTTACAATTTAAACTTTAAGTTAAATATTGTTAATGTAAATAAATATTTATAGTGAATCACAGATGTAGACTTTTTTTTTAAACCACATCCTATTAAAAATACAACTTCAACTCACTCATTTTCAACAAAAGAAATACTCAACACTACACCCATGTTTTCCTAAAAAATTCAACAGCAAATATCATCATAAAAAACAAATTCTTTCAACTTCAAAAACTTTAACTTCAAAATCCCATTTTTTTCACGTAACATAAGTCACCAATAAACTCGTCAAACCTTAAAAAATTAGTATTTCCATTGAAATCGATGTAATACTTAAAACAAACTTAAAATAATACAGTACGTAGATAAACGGTACAGAGAGGTTGCATCGAAGTGCAATAAAACGAAGATACCTATATTTAGTTCCACTTATCGCAGCTTCGTGTGTGATTCAATAATTGGTTAAAAGAATAGTTGTCGGGCACGTTATCGATAATTATTTTTTTTCTCTCTCTCTTATTCATCACCATTATAAGGCGCTTCCACGAGAAAATGGACGGGACGAAATCACTTTGTCGCTGTCAATTTCTTTTATTACTCTGACAACGCGAACCGAGAGATAAGCTTGACGATTCTAACTTATTGTTGTTTTCAGCATTTCGTGCTACGGAGATTTTCTGGTCGACACGATGTACGAGAGGGCTCAAAAATTTCCACGATGATTTACTGCAAATTAGTTTTTTTTATGTTCAATTCTTTCTTATCTTTATAGCGTATTTCCTGGTGCAGATCATTCTGATTATTCCTTGTCGGATAATTCTTTGTGGTGTGATTATTTCGATCACTTCTTGCACTACGATTCACAGGACTAAGGACAGAACTAAGACAGACTTAAGACAGAATCATAGCAATATTAAAACAGATAAAGAAAGTTGAAATGTTATGTCAATTTGGTATCGATCGACTATGCAAATAATTCAACTCAAAATCGAAGCGTATTAATTCGAGTGAAATTGATGAGGAAGTACGAGTGCGTCACGAGACTCGTCAAAATAGTGCAAGTGGTTAAAGGTATATGATTCTTTTCTTCTGAGAGCAAATTTGAATTTCTGAGCCCCAATTTGAAATTGTTACGAGACCTCATTCGTTCGCTATGATCAATGATATAGACACATTTGACTTAAAGGTGTATTCTTTTCTGAGAGCAAATTTCAATTTCTGAGCTCGAATCTGAAATTGTTACGAGGCCTCGGTTCCTATGATCAATGATATAGAAACATTTGATTCAACCCCTTGCACTATGATTTGTCAGCTGCGTCAGAACTAATCAGCAATATTAAAACAGGTAAAGAAAGTTGAAATGTTATGTCAATTTTGTATCGACTGTGCAAATAATTGGATAGCTGCAAATTGAAGGGTATTCGAGGGAAATTGATGAGGAAGTACAAGTTCGTCTAGTTAAAATAGTACAAGGGGTGAAATACAAAAAGATGGTACAAATTATAAGGAATTTGTAATTGTTCTTAATTTCTGCAGGTATTAAAAATCTTTTCAAGTTAAACAGTACATTAATTTCCATGACAATAAATGATTTACTGCAAATTACTTTTTGTATTAGACTCCTTCCTTATCTTTACAGTCCATTGTTTCCTATTGGAAATTATTCCGATAATTAAATGCGAAAGAATGTTAACAATATTTTTTTAATTTTGTCTTGCATTAAAAATCTTGTTAAGTTAAATGCTACATTAATTAAAAATCTATGCATCCAGTTAAATCTAGTATCCCTAAAAATTTTCTATCACGTGTTTTAATATAATCTCCACATAATCTCTTCTACCTTTCACTCTTACAACAATTAAAATAATTAATTCAACTAAATATAAAACGATTTGATCAGGCAAGAAAAGGTCGGATCAATAGACACTCGTTTCGATGATTAATGGAATAAAAGGTGCCACTAGATCCGACTAGCAATGTCAAGCGGAAAATTGCTGGTATTCATCTAGATAAGTCACTCAAGTGATATTTGAATTAACAAGAATAGTATTCTCAACGTTAATACTTATTGGCTATAAACGATGTGACTTTGGAAAACCTTGGTTAATTGTTCATAACCGCAAATGTATTCAGAAGAGTGAGATCTTTTCTTGGTTATGTAATCGTTTGCCTGGCGATGACTCCTAGAGAAAATGGCGGTGACCGACACTTGTCTTGTCAGTATTATTATTCAGAATGTAGGGACGATTATTCATTTTAAAGCGAATTCGTTCATTTAGTCATTTATGATCTTGCTATATCGTAGGGGGAAATGTGCTTATGATCATCAGTTTATATACTGGGTGTCTTGTTTTAAGGAATTTGTTCGAGTTTTTCTGAAATTATTTATTGGAAGAAATGTTTCGAGTGGAAGTAGGTATGTTAGGTTTCTAAGACATAATTTGATGTTAATTATTTTTTATGAGATGTTGTAGACAGAGATGTCAATTTTATTTTGTTTAAAAGAACAATATAATTTTTAATACGTAGTTCATCATTTATTTATGTAGTTTATTATCACTGTAAAAAGTTACTATTCTATGTCGAGAGACTGTCAGTTTAAGAGATATTTTAAGGTTGACGTGCCATTTTAATAATCTTGTTAACAAATTTTTAAATTGCTTTCGTTATGTCTTGTTGAAATTTTGTTATGGTAACTGGTCACTCGATAATGACCTGCTATATATGTCGCCTTCCAAATAATAACATCCAAAGTAATCACAAAGAATTTCATTTCATGAGAGCTAGCTGTAAAATCGAGTTCTGTCACTCAACATAAAATTTTTAAATATCTTCAAACTTGATAGTTTTTTAATATAAAATAGATCAGTGATATTTTTTATTTATATTTTTTATATTTAGAGGATGACAAGCTACAGGTGTATTAAAAACATAAATAAGCACAAATACCATTAAAATAATTCACTTGACCTTTTTATATCCTTCACATCTCCACCTACAGAACTTAATAACAAAACCTATTACCTCCCCCAAAGTTATTTAACTTCCATTCGAAATATTTTCTATAATATCAAAGTATCATTGTATAATAATTTTTGTAAATACTCGAAAAGATTGTAATAAATGAAACACCCTATATATACACTGTAATGTTTCTTTAGTAACTAGTTGAGCAATACGACAGCGTAATAGAGTCACGTAACCATTGCTAGACTATTTCAGATAAAATTAATACACATCAAGTTGTCCAAGGCACTGGAGCTGTGTCTGTTTAAAAGTTAACATCAAAAAATAAGTACAAGATAATTATGGAATCATGTGAACTACTATTGCGATATAAACGAATATATTTTTCTGAAATAAACGATATAGAAAGATTTATTATTTATTGCGTACTATGTAAATGAGATTGAACTAATCTGATAAATGTCGGATGTTACTATAAAATTAAACGTCACGAGTAAAAAAATAAATATGTACGTAAAAAGTTTGTAGTAGTTCATTCAGTATTTTTATTTCATTTTTGAAATAAAATGTTGTAATCTGTAACAACTCTTCAGAAAGTCATTTTTTGGTAATTTGATGCCACGTTTGGTTTACCAAAGAACTTTAAAAATTGAGCAAATTGAACAGATGATTTGCAAAAAGTTATCAAAATAGTATCTTTGAACTGCGTATAATAGATTATGGTATTTCTTTATTGGAATATCACATGATTGCATCATACGACATTTCATTAACCTCATTGGGTGCGATCACAGATTGCTCTGGCGCTTAAATATTTCAATAATTGTTTACCACTGCAACAACGATAATTTTTAAATATTTCTACTTAAAGAATTTCTTTAGTTAAAAATAAAAATTTTTAAGCTTTAATTTTAGGTAAAATCTTTATTTCACAGAAGAGTTAATTTTTTCAACTACCCCTTTGTAGTTCTTTGATAAATTTCATTTAAAAAGTTAGAATTTTTAATATTTTTTCATGAGTCAAACCATAATTATCTTATGTGCTAATTTATTATTAAATGCAGCAGCTGAATGTAGCGTGAGGCAGCTGCAGCTACGCCATTTTGTTGAGAAAATAAACTTAAAAAATTCTCTAGTGTATCTAAAAATATGTATAACAAAATTCATTATTATTCATTATAATAATATAATAAATTTACTACATATTTTGTATTCATTCAATAATAAAAAAAAATTATGAAAAATAGCTTTGATAGTTGAGGACACAGATGTCATCTTTTAAAACAAAGACGTTTTAATAATTTTTTAAAGCATCATACATATAAAATACAACAATGAACAGTGAAAAATTACAGAAAAAAAATGTGTATTAATAGTAAGTATGTAATACTTTAATTTGATTAAATTTGATTTAATATTTGGTTAAAGCTTCACTTACCATCGTGAGGCACCTACCGCACCGCCATTTTGTAGATAAACTAAAATACAAAAATACTCTGGTACACCTTAAAATATGTACAATAAAAGTGTCCTAATAGACTTCCCATTTATTTAACCATTTTGTCAAAATAAATAATCATATCTTTACTTTCTCACCTAAACGAATTTTGGAAAAACTTAATTTAAAAAAAAATATAAAGTAAAAATGAACAGTGAAGTGTATAAAAAAAAATGAATGAGAAAGTGTTAACTTAACAAGAGAAATTGAAAGCATAGCCTAAAAATGACACGAGTGCACTGAGGGTTAAAGCACTACTAGATTGTCATCACGTGTGAAACGTGACCGTCTGATTTAGTCGGGACACGTGACAACGACGTTCCGTCACATCTGTTTAATAATCAGAACGAAAACCGAGTACAGTGTCTCATCGTTCTCCTGTCCCCACTCGTGCACGCGTATGCCGATATCGATCTGAACAGTGTCAATAAGGAGCCATCAGATCCATTTACACGCATTTATGCAGGACGAGCGTCGATGTAACGCGTCTAATATTAGCCTCAATCAGCGTCAATAAAGAAGAAAATAGCGTGACACGAGTACGCGCTATTATTTATCGTCTGTAACGTACACGTGACGTGATTCTTCGCATGATATATAAAGGTATCTTGATCTTGAACGAAATTATATTCAAACCTGACATCATATAGAGCGCCAGGCTTCCAGACAAAGAACCTAACCGTCACTAGCCGATAGCGATTCTTGCGATACGAACGCTTCGTTTAGTCATCGATCATCAGTGTCAAAGCTGAAACATTCTCTGTTTCTTAAAACACTTTGATTCTCGTGACAACAAATAGTGTCCGAACTCGAAGAAAATGCGCAACCCGAGTACAGAGCAGATTCTCAAAGACGAAGAATGTTTCGAGATCATCCGCAAAAAGCTTCACAAAGATTCGATGGAGGACTTCTCTCTGATCACCTACGAGGTGGTGCCTATCAACGAGGTGAACGGCTTCATGGGTCAGTACTTTACTTTGAAAGCTACGGTGGCCTCACCGCAGTCGCCCATGGAAACGAAGAACATCAAATTCTTCACGAAACTCCCGCCTCCTGTCACGAGTCCGCAATACGACTTCATTCAGCAGTACGGAAGCTTCAAGAAGGAGGTTGCCCTTTACACCACCGTGTTTCCGGAAGTGTTGAACGGCCTGGACAGCAAGTGCATCCCGGAATGCTTCCTGGGTTTGGAGAACGACGTGATAGTCTTGGAGGACATGGCTCACAGCGGTTACGAAATGACGGACAAACTGAAACCGTTCGACTATGGACACTGTAAAGTGTTGATGAAGACCCTGGCGAGGTTCCACGCAAAGTCCCTCATCTTTGAACAGTTGTACCAGAAGAGTCTGCACGACGAATTCTTTCATTGCATGCAAGAGACGCTGTGGCCGCTGAAGGACGGTAGAGCTAAGTCCATGTTTGATGCTGCTGTGAAGGGCATCGATTCCGTGATCGATTTGGTTCCGGAGCTGAACGAGGAGCAACGAAAAGTATTCAGGGCGAAGCTTACTGATTTGTGCGTTAATCACGCGGATAAATTGCTGCCGTCCATCAAGCATAAGAACGTACTCTGCCATGGAGACTTGTGGGCAAATAATATCTTGTTCAAGTACGATGTCGACGAGAAGCCTGTGGAGTGCTGTCTTATCGACTTTCAACTTGCCAGGTAATTAAGAGTGTTGGCGACGTCTTAATTTTAACCCGGGGTTAAGTTGACACTGGATTTGAGAGTTAGGGCTTTGACAATTTTTTTTGGAAAAATGAGGAAGGATATGGATAATCTGATGTGGGTCTGTTGTTGTATGAGTTTTGAGGTTTACGAAAGTATTTTTGTATTTTATTTTTTTGAGAAAATGGCGGAGATGTAGCGGCCTCATTGTGGGTACCTTTGATGGTAGTTGCTAAATGGTATATATGATAATTTCAGTATGGATTAAGCTAGAACAAATGTCCAAAAACTGTTATATTCTACAGGAAATTTACTGAAGAATTACGGAAGAATTTTTAAAAATATTAATTTGTATGAAAAATAGCGAATATTAGAAGAAAGTACTGTTTTTGTGTAAAACATTCTTTTCACAGTAGCCGTAAGGCAACTGTAGCTCCGCCATTTTGTCAAGTACAGAATATCAAAAAATATTTTTATAAAGCTTAAAACCTGCACTACAAAGAACCGTCAACAGATTTTCCATCTACCTCGTCGTTTTCCCTAAAAAAATTATCAAAACTGAACAAGTCAAAATTCAATACCAAAATATTGAAACAAATCACAAATATAATTTTTCTTTTTCAGGTACAATCCACCTGCCCACGACATTCTCTGTTTCTTACAATTCACAACAACCCGAGAGCTTCGAGAAAAGCACAGCGACGAGTTGTTCAAGATCTACCACGAGACAATGGCGGAAGCTCTAGAAGAAGCTGGTCTCGACATTTCTACTGTTTTCCCATGGGACAAGTTCATCGAGTCCATCGAAGATCTGAAAGTCATGTGCATCACCCATGGCGTTTTGAACATACCGATCATGCTGTTAGAGCCTAGTGCAGCCAGCAAGTACTTCTCGGACCAGCCAGAGCTTTTGGAGAGCATTCTCTACGTGGACAGAACACCATTGATCTTTGAGCAGATAAAGGACGTGCCTCAATACAGAGCCAGGATGATGGATGCTCTACTAGAATTATACGATTATGTGACCGGCTAAAAAAATTCAGGCTGACACCACAGATATTAGATGCTTTTTCACTGTAGATAACAGGGTTATGATGCACCAGTCGCTATCTTGGAAAGTAAGCGACGAGCACAGCGAAATATAGCTCAGATGTTCGAATCAGAAAATATTAGGCTATATCAGGTAATATTAGACCATTCGAAGATTATAAACAAATTCTAACTTCAAAGTTTGAGGCACCAATGATTTGCAACGCTTTACAAAATTGTATGCTTATTACGTCACTTGTGATTGCACGAAATATTGGAACATTATGCACTAATTAATTTAAATTTGAAGCATTTTAGATGTTAGTCGCTAATGTTCGTCGTGAGGCAAATTATGCAATGGTGATGTAATTACGTAAGATAGGGATACAAACGGCTGTTTTCGAAACGAGTGTTAATAATAGCGAGAGCAGTTATTGACTGATAGACAATTGTATAAAGTGAATGATACGTTTGATGGAGGGATTTTTAGGTTATATTTAATTATGTATTATGTAATTGTGATATATTTTATTACTGTTATTGTAATTTTCATTGTTATGCAAATAAAGTATAATGTGTAAAAAGACATAAATGTTCATTCTCACGTAATTAGTTTAACTAGTTTAAAGTATTTTGAATATTTCATTCTTGTTGGTTTTTAAAAATTTATATTTTCGCGCGCTTTTTGGAAAAGTGACGCTAGCGCCATCTCTCCAGCGAACAGGGTGAACTACACACTTTTTAAACACTACTTTCATTAGTTCTTAGTTCCACCACTAGGCGGCGCCACGCATAACGTTTTCGGTTCAATTTAATTAATATAGCTGGTTTTATTAGCTTTACTGACTGTAATATGAATTCAATTACATCGGAGTGCATTATTTTACTTTGAATTATTTTAACTTTAACAATTTTTATTGAACTTTAACCATTTTTAGACTAATCCTACTAGGGTTTCACTGTCATGTGGCGCCGTCTAGCAGCGAAAGACGGAACTAACGAAAGTAGTGTTTCAAAAGCGTGTAGTTCACCCTGTTCGCCGGAGAGATGGCGCTAGTAGTACTTTTTCAAAAAGCGCGGGAAAATATAAATTTTTAAATACATTTATGGAAGAATAAAGCTTTCTACTACTTTAAACTTGTTCAATTCTTTGAGAATGCACGATTTATATTCTTATAACGGTTCTAGAATGATTTATATTCTTTTTATATATTAACGTCGAAACTCACTATAGTTTATGAACTGTTCTCATATTTCTCATCTTCAGATCAATGGAATATATTACAAACAGCATTGCTTTACCATCACTTTTAGAATTCCCTGTATTTTTATGCAAACTCTTCCAGAATTAAAAGGCAATAGTTTTGTTATTATTATAGTGTAGCTGTGGCTTTACAAAGGAAGAAAGAATAAAAAAGCGCAGAACTGTCAGCCATTTCAAATCATGCATGTGGTTTGCAGAAATGGCGCCTTGTTTTGGGACCATCTCAAAGCTACATTCGAAAAAGTGCTACTAATGCAACAATAATTTAACATGGATTTTCAAGCATTTTTAATAGAAAAAAGTCTTTCATATTGCATTACTGTCAAATATCTTTACAAATCCTCAATTTTTTAAATAAATTCAAGAATAGAAAAAATAGAAAATTGTCACTCTTCAAGCATTCTTTTTCTTTTAGCTTTAATTGAAAAATATTTAACTATTTATTATACACTAATGTATATTAGTGCTTTCAGAAAAGTTATTAAAACAATTTGACATAAAAAGAAATTCAATAAGTATTCCTTCAAAAAAAAAAAAAAATAAATAAAAATCTACATAATTTTCAAAAAATAACAATGCTACTAACAATTTTAAAATTGTATCTCAGCATACAAAAATCTCCACAAAAAATATCAATTAAATACTATAAGTCCAATCGAACAATGTAAACTAGAGGCTCAATAAAAAAATGTCAAACATTTACTTTTGTGTATATAATTATTCATATCATCAATTATAATGAATATATAGTTATGTACAATATTGAATCTCATTCTTTAACAATAACATCAACAACATGATTAAACAACGTTCCTCATTGGTACACAAATTGTAAATGTACAGATAAAAAAGCATTAGATGAGGTCAATGAGGCATCGAAGGTGGCGTACGCTCAGCGCGCCTTAATTTTCTTCTTCTTTTTTTCCCTTTTTTTTTTGTCTGTGTTTTTTTATACATCTTATAATTTCCATGTACACGTGTATGTATATATCGATGCATTACAATTTAATAACATACATCGTATATATACATATCATACATCGAATCATATATATATATATACGTATATATATATTTATCAATTTTGGTATCTTGTTCGATTTGTTTTTTTTATATTTTTTTTTTTCATTTTCTTTCTTTCTTATCATTTTCGTAGATTTCTTTAAACGTTAATTATGTATACTTCGTTTAGATACACACGTTCCACATACACACAAATGCGCCACGTGTATCCGTGCGACGCACGAGAATACGATTACGGGTGATGATATCGATTGAATCGGTGCATGATTTAATTATTAAAGAGAGTGCATGAATAATTTGTATCTCGCAAGCAGCCAGGCACTAATTGAAAAATTCAACAAAAATATTAACCTGTAGAAAATAATGTTACAGTAGTGCGTAAATATAGGGCGCCAGTTTTGTCGGCCTGTAGGACCGTAGTCATCCCCAGCTACGTTTCAATCATTCACAATGACAGACAATTAATGTGCTGACGTAAGAAAATGGGTTCACATTGTACCCCTTCAGAAAAGAAGAAATTGACCCACTTTCAAACTTTGGAATTTTGGGCCTTAGGAAGTTTGGGACTTTTGGAATTTGGGGATAAGGAGGTTTGGGACTTTTGGAGTTTGGGACTTTAGGAAGTTTGGGACTTTTGGAGTTTGGGACTTTAGGAAGTTTGGGACTTTAGGGAGTTTGGGACTTTGGGAGAGTGGAATTTGAGGAGTTTGGGACTTTACGAGTTATGGATTTGGTAAATTTGGGATTTTGGAGGTTTGGGCCTTAGGAAGTTTGGGACTTTTGGAATTTGAGCCTTTAGGAGTTTGGGACCTTGGAAATTTGGACCTTGGGAAGTTTGAGACTTTGGGAGAGTGGAATTTGAGGAGTTTGGGACTTTACGAGTTATGGATCTGGTAAATTTGGGATTTTTGAATTTTGGGCCTTCGGAAGTTTGGGACTTTTCAAGTTTGGGATTTTAGGAAGTTTGGGACTTTGTGAGAGTGGAATTTGAGGAGTTTGGGACTTTGGGAGAGTGGAATTTATGAAGTTTGAGGCTTCACAAGTTATGGATTTGGTAAGTTCGGGATTTTTGAATTTTGGGCCTTAGGAAGTTTGGGACTTTTGAAGTTTGGGATTTTAGGAAGTTTGGGACTTTGTGAGAGTGGAATTTAAGAAGTTTGAGGCTTCACAAGTTATGGATTTGGTAAATTAGGGATTTTGGAATTTTGGGACTTAGGAAGTTTGGGACTATTGGAATTTGGGCCTTTAGGAGTCTGGGATCTTGGAAATTTGGACCTTAGAAAGTTTGGAACTTTAGGAGATTGGAATTTGAGCGGTTTGTGACTTTACGAGTTATGAATTTCGTAAGTTAAGGATTTTGGAATTTTGGGCCTTAGGAAGTTTGGGATTTTGGGAATTTAGAACTTTGGGAGTTTGGTACTTTAAGAACTCGAGACTTTACGAGTTTTGTATTTGGTACATTTGAGATTTTGGCAGTTTCAGACTTTTGTAATTTGGGACTTACAAAGTTTGGAAAGTTAAGAATTTGGGACTTATGTAGCTTAGTATTGTAGGAGTCTGAGACTATACAAGTTCTGGATTTGATTAATTTGAGATTTTTGAAGTTCAGGACTTCAGGAATTTTGGTCTTTGGGACTTACGAAGTTTGGGACATTAGAAGTTGGAAACTTAGGAAGTTTGGGCCTTTAGGAGTCTGAGACTGAGTTCTGAATTTGATAATTTGTGACTTTGGAAGTTTGGTCCTGTGGAAGTTAGAACTTCAGTAACTTAGGACTTTGGGACTTCAGAAACATTGAACCTTTTGTACTTTTAGACTTCAGAGCCCTGAGACTCACAAAATAATATATGAAAGTGGGTCTCAACCAATAAAATTCTGAGAAGTCTCATAGATTATGGGGTGTAATATCGCATGCTGTGTTTGGTGCAAAAAATGTACGCATATTAGGACCTTGAAATTTTCAGTAAAACTAGGGAACTTGCATTGGCGTAACTAGGATATTTTTCTAACGAAGACCGAGTCTTTTACTGAAATTGACAAGTATTAATGTTAAAATTATATCAAATTATAATAACATAGTTGTTATTCCAATTAGAATTATCACCTCAGAATATTAACATTTTAGAGTTATTTGGCATTTTTATATGAAATGTGCCTATCATTCATGTACTGTACGCGTACCACAAGATGAGTTCTAGAAATTCAGAGAAGTACATTTATTTTCTTTAGTTTTCTGTCATCAATTTTCACTGATGCGTGACTTGTAAACAGTTAGTGCCAAAAATACATGTAACGCAAGGAATACATTTTTCGCTTTAACCACAGCCACATTTCTTTCAGCATCTCAGAACTCATCTTGTGGCGCGCGAGTACGTAAATGATTACTAGGTTCACTCCAGAAAAATCCTAATTACGTCAATGACAGAATGACCACAAAAAAACAAAATTTTCATATTTTTCACTTAAGACTAAAATTGTGATAAAGTGATCCAAATTACAAGTGTAAATAATTTTCATTTCCTTAAATTTCCACGTGCCATACATTTCGGCACTACTGTAATCCTACGATAATTCTACTATGTACAATTAAAAACGAAGAACATATTGATCTTTGAAAAAGAAAAGAAAAAAAAGTTTGAACGCCTGGCTCACCCACGCGACGCAAATTACGACCAATCATCTAAAACTCTACACAAGGCTCCGACAAATTTCATTTGTTTTTTTTTTTATCACTTAACGAACAATTTCCACAAAATCTAACGCACAAATTTTTTTTTGTTTCGTATATAATCGCATCAAGGCGAGGCAGGGTCACCGAGAGTCCTTCGTTTCTGATTTTTTTTGAAAAATTACTAACCCGCCAAAACGATTATTATGAAAATCGACTACTCGTGCGCGTGAACTGTTTTTTTTTTAAAAACGAAATCGCGATTTATTTATTCTTTTTTTTTTATTTTTTTTCCTTTTTCAGCAACGCCTCCGCCAGACATCGAATTTTACAAAAAAGAAGAAAATTCTAAATTGTCTTTTTTTTTATAATCTTCAGTCAAATTTTATTCGCAGACCTTTCATTTGCCATCAGCAGCAATGAAATATTTAACGAGAAAGGTCTTTCTTCTTCGTTCGTTTCGGAAATACTGCAGGAAACCTTCCGCTACACTCTCAATCTTCGATATAAAACGTTACTTAACGATAAAACAAGAAGAAAATATTGGGATTATATAATTTCGCTTGTGACCCACTTTCAGCCATTTGAATTTTCAAATTTTCCCGCCGGCGGCGATTCGAACGCTATGCTGGACAAAATAATACTTAACATAAAAAATATATAATGTTTAATATTACACTAACTAGATTATCTATCTATAAAATTATTAACCAAAAGCTAATTATTTTTCATAAAAATAATTAAAAATTCTACGAGTATATTTCGCTACTTATACTTATATATTGGAATTGAAATATCGTAAAATAATCTGAAATCTATTATTCGCTTATCACGTAAAGATTATAATTGAAACTAAAAGACTAACTGAATAAAAACAACTGAATAAAAAAATAACAAATAAGCCTAACTAATAACAAGCTCCTAAAATTTCTTGAATTATATCCAGCAACGCGCATCTCATATTTTAATTCTAATTTTTAACATATGAATCTACACAGCAAATTTTTTAAACTAAAGCTGAAAGCGTGTCGGTATTTCAATAATTTAAGATGGTTATACCAGTACATTTTATCACAAATTCACTTTAAAATTCAATTACATTAGTAACATTAATATCTGAACACTGGTAAAATTTTTTATCACACGAAAATAATTTTCAAAATAAAAAATCATCCTTCAACTGAGGGATTTAAATTGGAACTACTCCATATTTTTTATCAAATAAAAGAATATTCTTTCAAAATGTTTAAATTGGATTTTGTCCTATTTACCAGTGTTCCTTTTGAATTTGAAGATACAACCACCTTTGTACATTAAACATTTTAACAAAAGAAACAATAACTCGATTCCATAAAAGAAAAAACGAAACGAGTATAATAAACGAGGAGCAACAAAATTGCTTGCGGCTGAGGCTGCACCCTAGTCCCGTCCACACAAGATGGAGTCATCCGAACCGCACACCTGACCAGCCCTTCTCGCCTTAATCGAGCCATACATAGAAAGTTATATACAACGATATAACACGAACTGCAGTGGCAGTGAATAGTGCATATGGATATTGCAAACAGCAGCAATGGCGGTGGCGGCGACGACTCGTAATCGCGATACACGGCAGCGTCTACCACAGCTACTTTTAATATTTTCTTGTCCTTGGTAAGATCAATCCACTTCGTTTGCAGCACGTTATCCGAATTAATCGAATAACAATGATTGATATTGAACAAATCGATCCCGAAGGACTGACGTGTCCGATGTGCATCGTGTTTGTTTGCTGTTGTCTCACAACACATCATTCCACTTCCGTTAGTTCCGTACACACGAACCGTGTCACCTTGGTTCCCGTCCTTTTGGTTTCTCCTACGTTTTTTCATCGATGTAACATTATATTCGGTGCGCGTGTGCGCGCACGCATGTGTGGTTTCTTTTTAGTTCTTTTCGTAAATCCGTAGTAATTTACGACATACTGTTCTCTTCTCGGTCACGTGGATCCAGTATATGTGTGCACGCGCGCATGTACATGCACCTGTATGTCCTCGTATATGTGTACTACTACGTGTGCGTGTTTCAAAGTTTTTGTGTGTCTGTGTAAGCGGGGAGCGAGGAAGAAGTATCCGAGTAATTGATGTGTTCGTGTGTTTCTTCTTACATGTATGTATACCTCTTATTTGATCCATTTTTACATACATACATATATATACATATACATGCATATATACATATATACATACATACATATGTGTATACGTATATGGATGTACACCTAGGTGCAATGTATGCTTCTCTTAGTTACGGGCAGTGTGGAGGTTAAAGACTCAGTACTTATTTCAAATAGAATATGAGTAAAGGCTATAAGAGCCAGGGAGAGCTAGAATGACATAGGGAGATCCAGGGAGAGCCTACGCATAGATGGAAGAGTATAAAAATCAAGGGACAGGCAGCTTAGTGAAAGAAATCTTATAGAGATCTAAAGAGAGCAAGGAGAATCTAGCAAAGCTCTGGAAGAACCAACTAAATATTAGAAGAGGTCCTAGGATAGTCAAGAGAGAGGCAGATCTAAGTGGACCAAGAGGATCCAACAAAATTCAAGCGCAGCAAAAGAGCCTTCTTTCCTACACACTTCCCTTTACATAAGGGAAGTTTAAGTTGCATGTGAGTGCACGTACATACACAGGCTGTCTCAAAAAAGATGTATACCATAAGTCCATATGTGTGATACCAAAAGGAAAGTCCATCATTATTTCCTGCGATTAAAAATTGGATATTCGATCCCATCTGGTCCCATCTTATCAAAACAGTATGAATGCCCTCTTATCATTTTGACAGTGCTTTCTATGTGTGCGCTTGTCTATCTACACGTGTCTCTCTGTGTGAGTGTAAACTTTTGTGACCACATGTCAAATGGGATTCCTCTCAAGTCGTACATCCAATCTTTAATCGTTTACAGAATTTCTTCTGGAAAATTTGCAATGTTTACGGTGTGCATCTTTTATGAGATACCCTGTATATACATTTGTATGTACATACTCGAGAATGTCACAAAAATATATAAAAGGGGAGAGCGTCTATGTATACATATGTATGTGCATATATATCTATAATGTATATATATACTGATATATAGTCAGGTAATACTCAAGTTGTGTGGAAAAGGGTGGTTTATTGTAATTATTATTTATGCACTCACACACACACGCATGCACGCACACATGCACGCACACACGCACGCATACACATATCACACACACATTCATACATACGTACACCTTTTATGTATAGAACCTGTACAAAGTGCTTGATTGAGATTTTTATCGTTAACCGCAAAAGAAGACACTCAAGGTAATGTTTACAGGTAGTCCCTGCACTCCCTTTCACACGTATTCTGCTCTGTCGTGGCACACATTGCAACTCCTTTTATTTAAGACTACGTATACATGGTGATTGTTGCATCAACAATGAACTATCTTTTTCTTCGATAAACATAAGAGAAAAGCAGTGTTGTTCACTGTATGATTCAATAAAATCCACTTGCTTCATTGTTTGTAGATATGATCCAAGCAGCTACAAAATTTGTAACTATTTGCTTAAATATAAATATGTGCTAAAATAATAACAATTTGAAATTCAATATAACTGCATAACTGATACTTTACATACACCATTCAGTTACTACTACTAGTTTAGCAACATGTAAATATAAAATTAGAACATTAAAGATATTTATGTATATTAAAAAATGTAATGAAACCTTTCTAAAAATGTCTATCCCTATTTTATAAGCAGATGTAAGCAATATCTGGCTGCACTCAAAGAAATATAAGCAGCTAAAATTGGATTTTATTCAATCATACAATTCTTCCTGCTATCAGAATTTTATATTATATATATGTATGGAAGCTATAATTTACATTAGTTGCAAAAATCACCCTGTAAATGCGCATATACGTGTACATGTACATATACAGGCTGTGACACAAACTTTGTCTGCTGAAAATATTCTCATTGTTGTCAGAGCTACATAGGAGTATTTTAAAAACTGTATGGCATCAAATAATTTCATTGACATAACTACAATGTATATTATTTGTATAAACAATTATTGCAGATTGAATTGAATTGAAAAAGCACAATGTGACTGAAAAGAATGTTAACTTTGAAATCTATATTTCTTCAGCTACAAACAGAAGTTATTGATAAGTTATAAACCATACAATTTTTGTAAATAATATTAACTTGTATCTGTAACAATGAAAATATTTGAAGCGAACAAAGTTGGCATCCCACCTCTTATGTATACGTATTATTCTTTTGCAAACAAGGCAAGGTATAAAATCATGATACAAGAAACGAACACACGACTGTCATTGCGAAGTGAACGATGTTTCTATATGAAAGAACCAGAAGAGGTCCCCTCGGTTGTAATGTATCTCAATCAACTTTTTACAACTTTTCTGTATCTCTTCCTCTTTCCTCCTCCTTTGACTTCTTTTTACAGTTTTCCACAGAATGACAACGTGTCCGTCTATTCTGCGCCTATTTACATATCCTGAATGAGCTACAGCGATGGTACACGTTTAGTCGCGAAGGCGATTACAATTCCTCAGCGATCAGCCTTGAAGATGTTCTCAAGCGTTAAGCTGCTTGCTTCGCATTTAGGTATAATTCTCGTTTCTTCTGTACTTTGAAAGAGTGGGGAGTGGGATCTAGTCACACAGTTTGATGCTTGAAAGTAAGCCGTTCAGTCCTTATGCCGCCTTCCGTCGAAGACGTTCTTATTTAATGTCGAATAGCGTAAACGTGTAGCTACCCTCGGACCTGTGCTTCATCATACCGTTTCCCCGGTATCCCTTCTTTCCTTCTCTCCCTTTCTTTTGGCAAATCTTCGTTTACTTCTTCCTTCTTTACAGGGCATGCCTCAACGCAAAAATGTTCAGTCACAATGTGAAAATCAACGTTACACAGCGATGAGTGATTAAGGGGATAAAGAAGTTTGCAGACACTATTGAAGGGAAACCGAAAACGGCTCTAAGCGCCAGCCTAGCGACACGTGACCAGCAGCAAAATCGGACGTGTTAGTGACTTATTGTATGGACGGGGTTTTGCGATAATCCGTTGAGAACATGTAGCATCGTACCCAAATGGTAGCCAACGAAGATTCAATGATATTCGTAGGGACGACGGGCGGCATGATGAGTTTCCTTTGCCTGATTTATATGTAGGAATAAGGTCCATCGGTGAGGGCGCTACACAGTAACAGTCAGGAGGCGTCGTCCTTTCCTCGTGCTCCTCTGCTTGGCTTGTATTCTAGACCTGGGTCGAACTGCATCAGCACGAAAACCTGCAAACATACAATCATTCACACATTTCATAATACTCCAAGTTTTAGGTTATAAACTCAGAGGGAATGTACAGATTCTAATTGTTGATGAAGAGCAACTGTTTTCATATTGGCTTACTAAGTTTCAGATAAACTAATTGCTGATGAAGAGGTGCAACTGTTTTCATATTAGCTTACAAGTTTCAGATAAGCTATATGTGTAACATTGCTTCAAGGTTTTTATTTTTGGTTGGAATGTGATCATATGGATTAGTGAACCTAGGTGATGGTTATGGGCATTAGCATACATGGTGTATCTAAAGATGACTAGCCTAATATGTAAAACTGAAGAACTTTGGTTTAGAGAGAACCTAGGACAGTTGAGTTATTATGGTTGGAATGTGATCATATGGATTAGTGAACCTAGGTGATGGTTATGGGCATTAGCATATATGGTGTATCTAATGATGAATAGCCTAATATATAAAACTGAAGAACTTTGGTTTAGAGAGAACTTAGAAGGACAATTGAGTTATTACTCTTAACAACCCTTAAGCCTAGTTGACTAACACTAAATTAATAATAAATTAGAGTAATACAGTACCTGGTCAGTAGGTAATAACGTAAAATCGTCCGGAGGATTGGTGATAACGTATCGTTTAGAAGAAGCATCGCAGGACGAGCTCGTGTCTCGAAACCTAAAAGAGTTGTATCAAAGTTAGACGAAAGGCATAACAGTATGGAAACAAGCATAGCCATAATTCATGATCTAAATTAAATACATGTACGATTAAAACTAAACTAAACTAAACTAAACTAAACGCTGGCAACAGTAACTAAACACTAAACAAATAAGTGACACGAAGATAATCGTAAAAAATGATAGGTATTTGTTGGATGAAGGCAACTTACGATCGTCGTTGCTCATTTTTTTTTCACGCAAAAACGCAAAATGCAAAAGTATGCGGCAAAAAATCAAAAAGTCATATAGTAAGTACGAGAATGGTATAGTAAAGAGATAATCAATGGCGGTACAATAACTGCAGCAGCAAGATGAAACATTTGTTGCATTTTTTTTAATCAGAAATATGTGCAGAATGTTCATGTAGAATTAATCCAATAAATACCATCGAGAGAAGGAAAAAAGACCGGTACCTGTACCTGTACAGACCAATGCACAGCATTCCATACGACTTTAATGCTGCGACAAAGAGGTCACCGTACTTGCCTCCTTCGCCGTATTGGGCTAAAGGTCCATCGTACAACGCGATTTGACCAACTCGACATCGATCTCTGTTGGCCAGACTGTCAGCAGTACTGCAATGCAAAAATTACATAACAATTCATCAAGGTATAACACAAAGTTTGACGTTCAATTTTTTGCTAATTTACCTATAACCTCCTCTTAAACCTGCTCCTTCAGCTAAAATTAATTCTAACTCCGGCGTCGCTCCACCAGTGATCAGCGATCGAATTAAAGTCAGCGCATTTTGGTTAAAATACGTCTGTAATCAAACGAACGAGTACCAAATTAATTTCATTAACAGAGTGTCAGACATGATTTCTGTAGCGTCCACAATGTGCAGCTGTAACCTAAACTTTTAGCTCATGAAAGTCATGCATCAGAGGTGGAAGCAGTAAAAATTCTAAGACAATATGACATTTTGATTGGTGGACGCATTCTAAGTTCATTAGGATGTAAAATTCAACCCTAACCTACATTTTGGACTTAATACATCTGGAGGGTGTGCATCATCCAGTGATGAGGCACTTGAAATATTAAGTCAATATGGCACTTTAGCATATGGCACTTTGGCAAGCATTTAGGAACGCAATAGTTGACACGTTCTTAATCTAAGTGCTGCTTATAATATACTCAAAGGTTATATATCACTTAAGAGATGACGAGGCACATCAAATATGTCTCTTTGAGACCAGGTATATTCCAAGTATGTTCGTATCAAACCTTTAAAGTTTGCAGTAAAGGCTTTAAAAGTTTACAGTCATGTAAAAGCTATGTGTCATCCAAACATGAAAGTCGTGGCATCTGAAGTATTAGATCAACATAATTCTTTGAGGCCAGAAATTACAATCATGTTGTATGGAGCTTAACAGTCGCTGCATCTTTAATCTAAGAGTATGTCCCTAATCCAAACAGGGGTAGCAATACTCGAAGTGTAGTTCAAAATCAATCTAATCTAAATAATAAGTTAAAAATAATTTAACTGAAACTAACCGTTGACATTAACGAGTCTAGTACGCTGACAGCGAAAGCAGTACCGCAAGCAAAGGGTTGGGTAAGGTACAATTCAGTATCCGGGTCATCGTCGTCGTCCTGGTCGAGGAACTGTACGTTACTATCATTTACGAGTTCTGAAACAGAGATACACAATTAGATCGTATCTACACATTCTCAAGATACGTAAGAAGAATTCGAATACCTGTTATCATTGGCACGTTTGCTCCATAAACGGATCCCCGTCGCTGTAAAACAATTGGGCTGCCAACTGCGGTCAAATTATCTTGCTCATTATTTGCTGCAATTGTCACTTAACATTTAATTTTGTATAGGTGATGAAGTATTTGCAAGGGTTGAAGCTCAAGGATTCAGCTCTGAAAATGATCGATATTAATACGAACCTTGGCTGAGCACACCAATTGTATCGTCGAAGGTCATAGCCTTGATATTAAGGGACGCGAGGATGGCTTCCTTGTCGGCGAGGGTGGGGTCATCATTGCTAGGCACTTTAGCCGACAGGATACAACACATGTCGCACAGATTTACGTTCACGGCACGCAGATCTGCTCTGCTTAATGGCGAACCCTGTACAAATTCAGTGTAATTAGATAATGCAGCTTACAACTTCAAAACCTCATTCACAACCTGGATAAGCTATTGAACTGGAACTTCATGTAGAAGCTAAACTTTAAGAATACTAGTTTAGGGCCAGGACAGACTTTAGACACTGATAGGACACTGTTCTGATCATCATCAAACTAAGAGGCAAGAAGTAGACAGGTTCAAATGTTACTTAGGAAGCTAGATGCTGATTCACAACCTGGATAAGATATGGAACTGGAACTTCATATAGAAGCTAAATTTTAGGAATACTAGTTTAGGGCCAAGATAGACTTTAGACACTGATAGGACACTGTTCTGATCATCATCAAACTAAGAGGCAAGAAGTAGACAGGTTCAAATGTTACTTAGGAAGCTAGATGCTGATTCACAACCTGGATAAGATATGGAACTGGAACTTCATATAGAAGCTAAATTTTAGGAATACTAGTTTAGGGCCAAGATAGACTTTAGACACTGATAGGACACTGTTCTGATCATCATCAAACTAAGAGGCAAGAAGTAGACAGGTTCAAATGTTACTTAGGAAGCTAGATGCTGATTCACAACCTGGATAAGATATGGAACTGGAACTTCATATAGAAGCTAAATTTTAGGAATACTAGTTTAGGGCCAAGATAGACTTTAGACACTGATAGGACACTGTTCTGATCATCATCAAACTAAGAGGCAAGAAGTAGACAGGTTCAAATGTTACTTAGGAAGCTAGATGCTGATTCACAACCTGGATAAGATATGGAACTGGAACTTCATATAGAAGCTAAATTTTAGGAATACTAGTTTAGGGCCAAGATAGACTTTAGACACTGATAGGACACTGTTCTGATCATCATCAAACTAAGAGGCAAGAAGTAGACAGGTTCAAATGTTACTTAGGAAGCTAGATGCTGATTCACAACCTGGATAAGATATGGAACTGGAACTTCATATAGAAGCTAAATTTTAGGAATACTAGTTTAGGGCCAAGATAGACTTTAGACACTGATAGGACACTGTTCTGATCATCATCAAACTAAGAGGCAAGAAGTGGACAGGTTCAAATGTCACTTAGGAAGCTAGATGCTGATTCACAACCTGGATAAGCTATTGAACTGGAGCTTCATATAGAAGCTAAATTTTAAGAATATTAGTTTAGGGCCAGGACAGACTTTAGACAGTGATAAGACACTGTTCTGATCATCATCAAACCAAGAGACACAGAAGTGGACAGGATCAAATGTCATTTAGGAAGCTAGATGCTGATGTTAAAAGATAGAAACCTGAATAAACTATGGAACTTCATGTAGAAGTTAAATTTTAAGAATATTAGTCAGATGTTGATACTGAAAGGAACAACTTGATTGTTGAAAGTCTTTAGTGATAAAGATGACTCACAACCACATATACTGAAGATGCAGCTGTAACCTTCAATTATACTGAAGATAAAATATGAAGAGTATATTGCAATATGAGAAATATGGGACTTGCAATGTTTTCATCCACCCTGAAGAAATTTAAAGTGGTCTAAAGAGTAGTGGGTACAGAAATCTAATGTGACATGACCAGACCTAGAATCTCCAAATATGAAGTAGGTATCCATAACTTACATTTAACACCGATATTTTCGGTAGATTCTGCAACATCTTCCACTCGCGGCGGATGTAGTCGACAGACCCAACTATCACTACGTGTTTAAGCTCGTGGTAATGAAAATTGGAAGCTCGTAATGGCATGACAAGGTTTCTCAGTCCGATGAGGGGCGAGTCAGGATCAGCGAATAGGCAGACAACGACGTGTCCGTTGAGAACCGTCATGGCTGCCTGATTACGATCCAGTATACAGTCTTCGAGGTTGCGGGATGGACTCCAATGGAACATACCCGTCGAATCATATTTCATTTCGGTCTTTTCGAAATCAAAATCCTTCGCTTGATCGTCGGCGATTCCGACCTGAAGACCACCGTTGTTGTTCACGTTGGTACCTCCTGAAGCTCTGCTCGTAGGCCTACAAGAACAGTTCTTTATCTAACACGCATTCATCAACAATACAGACATCACTGTTTCATGAAAATTTCATTTAAATCTAGCTGTTAGTTTCTATAATATTCTTATACTAATAGGCTAAGTTCCTAAGTATAAGAAAAAAGCGTGTGCAATTATTTGTCAACTATGTTGTTTTGTTGAAAAGTAGATTTTAAGAAACGTTGCAAAATTAATTGTTACTATTATTATTAAGGTTTGTTAAAATTGACAGAAGTTGTAATGTGATACATTATACTTGTAACAGCATGCAATTATGATTATTTGTATATAATGAATAAATTATTTTTCAGATGGATCAAATTTGTAACTGTTTCTCTTATTTCAATAAATTGAATAACTATTTTACATTTAATGTTTCGTTTGTATGTTTGGCAATATAACGAGAATCTATTATAAGAAGCACAGACATGCAATTTACAAGCAAGCTTGACATGATAGCACACATATAGTGTACGATATAACTATGGTATAACGTGACGGTGTTAACAATAAAAGCATACATGAGCTTTTTGACTTCGTAGGCGAGGTGGTAACCAGGGTATGCTGACTCCTCTTGCGATCTGGAATCAAAAGGTATTTGTAACCTTGGATTCGTCAGTACAGAAAATGTCAGTCGGTAATTAACAATGAGATAATACTAGATGTGAGTATCGAAAGAATGTTAAATTTTATGTAGAGCCATGATACTGCCAGTTTTAATGCAGAGAATGAATTTATTGTTCAGCTTTGGATGATCGAGGTGATTAAGCATATTTAATTTCATGAGAACTTTGTATTCAATTTATAATAGAACTTTACAAGTTGAAATTACATATTTGATTGTGGATTAAGTTATAAATTGATTAATTTGATTGAGAAGCTTTTCAAATTGTTATCAAAATTTTGTTATCAAATCATATTACATTTTGTATGTTGAATTGGCCATTTGATATACAACCTCATATATACAACGTTGCAAATGGTGGAACAATAACGCAATTGTTTTTTAGTCACTCAATGGACTTACAATAAGCAGTGTGTATTTTCATAATACAATATTTGAATCAGAGTCAGGCATCTGGAGATTTAAGATTTAAACGTTGGTAATTTGTCGGTAATATAAATAACAATCAGTACTTGCAATTTTCAGCAAGTACAATTTTGTATATAGTTACATATCAAGAATAATTATTGCACATTCAAATGAAGAAGTGGATGTGATGTTCACTGGGTCTGTACGCAAAGAATAATAAAGGAGAAGTGTAATTTTGCAATAAAAATAAGGTTATATAGATTAAAATAATTTTTAAAATCGCATTTATTGCATATTATGGTCATTTGATGATAATTATTGATAGTTAACAACATTACCGACTGCTACCGACATTATCGCTGCTACTGACATTACCGACGGTTACTGACATTACCGACAGCAACCGATATTGCCGAAAGTTACCGATTTTACCGACCTTAATCGACGATAAGCAGTATTTACCAAGATTTATCAATAATTATCAATATTTATCAATAATTACCAAGATTTATCAATCATTACCAAGGTTTACCAATAATTATCAAGATTTATCAATCATTACCAAGGTTTACCAATAATTATCAAGGTTTATCAATCATTACCAAGGTTTACCAATAATTATCAGTATTTATCAATAATTATCAGGATTTATCAATAATTATCAAGATTGATCAACAATTACTAAGGTTTACCAATAATTATCAATATTTATCAATAATTATCAAGATTTATCAATAATAATCAATATTTATCAATAATTACCAAGGTTTATCTATAATTATCAATATTTATCAATAATTACTAAGGTTTACCAATAATTATCAAGATTTATCAATAATTAATAATCAATATCTATCAATCAATAATCAATCATAATAATCAATATTTATCAATAATTACCAAGGTTTATCAATAATTATCAATAATTATATCAATAGTTATAAAGATTTATCAATAGTTATCAATATTTATCATTAATTATCAATATTAAATCAACAATTATCCACAATAATCACCAATTACCGCCAATTACCATCACATACCGACAATTACCAATATAACACGAACTGCAGGCTCTCTGAACACCAAATTGCCATATCTGACTCAAATAAATTGAATTATCGTTACAAGTGCATAAAAAGTGATGTTCAAACACAGTAAACTCTAACATTTACTTATTTCTCCCAACGTTGCATGATTAATTCTCAACAGCGAAATCCCCACATCGTTATTAATCGTGACGCAATTAAGTACTCGCAAGTGGCCAGAGAAGCGAATGCATACTTGAATTTTTGTACATCAAGCGAGGATTAAATTCGAACTAAACTAAATACCTTTGATTGTATGGTTGAGTTGGACTCAATAAGCTGTCGTTTGTCGTTCGATTCACGTTCGGTTTCACCTTATTCACCTGCTTCGTTGAGTTCATCATGGTCATTCCAACGGAATTTCGATGATTTCTCATCGCTGTAACAAACAAGACATCACAGGTGTCAGTGAAATAAATCATCACTGTCGATAGTTAGGTATACTTATCGCATATAATCCGCATGCTATAAACAAATATCTTGTTTATAATTAGCCTACAATAAACAATATAAAGTAAATCTATCTATTTGTATATTTTTCCGTGATTCTTGGGTCATGAAACCCATTTTGCAGTTTCGACATTTTTTCAAAAGTTTGTCGAAATTATTTGTTTTAGACTGAAGATAACACATGAAGAACATAAACTTATGGCAGTCTAATGCGGTACAATTAAAGCGATTCTTAGATTACGTTATTCTTTTAGCGAATATTAGAGACATGATTTTGATAATTGATACAAATTGACATAACAGATAAACGTTAAACTAGCTCGAAACTTACCATTCGGGTCGTCTCGTTCACGACTGATCTCACCTAAAATTAATACATCCGAATTAACTCAGTTTTTCAAGGATTCAGAGGGGCGCAACTAATAGACAAAGCAACAATGATTAAGACAATTACAACAGTAGTCACACTGATCGTGACTTAACACCCCCCTCACTGTCTTAGCGCATCCTTACTTTCGATCGGCAACAGCCTACAGCCTCATGCTTACAGGCACGCATATCCTAAATCCTTTGCACGTGCTTTCTTAGAATTTTCAAAAGTTAGAATTGCCAATGTCTGGAGAACTGTACGTGGTTTTCAAAGATACATCAAGTTGCAGTTTACGAAGAAGAATGCACTTTATGAGAAAATTAAATAACATAAATTTATCGTTCTTTTTAATAAATAATTTGTAAATGATAAGAAATAAATAATTTTTACATTGTTCATTTTCAATGTATTTAATATTGTATTAGAATTTTTAGTCAATTTTGTACATTTTATAAATTTAGTTCTAAACTTGTAAATTAAAAAATGTTAAAATTATAAAAATTCTATATTTTCAAGTTTCTAAATATTTAAATTTATAAATGTCTTTTCAAATGATCACGTTCAAAATTTTTTTAATTTCTACAACTATTCGAACAGAAATTAAAATTCCTACAAAACATCTCATTTTTTTATAATTTTATTTCATGTTAATAATAAATGTTCACAAATAATTGTGCACCTAATATAATAAATAAGAAACTGTTTAATAAATATTACTTACTGATACTCTCTTTATTTTTACTTATTATAATTATTTATTTATTAATTATAATTATTTAACCATTCTTTTGTTTTAAATAAAAAATGATGCTTGATGTATCAATGAGAACCATAAACATTCACGACATAAGCAATTTCTCTCCACACGTGCTAATTACATAAGAGAAGAAAAAGAAGCAGTTAGCTGTTTGCCACGGTAATAAGATGAAGCACCACCTATATATATATATAAAATTGGAAAACTGAATAAGAGTATGGAAATGTGTTCTGTCCAACGTTACCATAGAAAGAAATTGTAATAACGAATGTGACCCATACTACCGTGCTCTCTACAAACTATCAGTCCAATGTTGTTCGAAGCGAAAACTTACACAAAACGCAGTATAAAAGAACTATGAATAATATTTAGGACACGTATGAATTATACATATCAAAGTAATGATATCGAGAAAAGTTTTCTAAATTTTGTAAACCAAGTATACATATATATATAGTATATCTACTTAGGGCATAAAAAAGTCCGTAGAAAAGACTAGGTCAGAACACCTGAATTCAAAACAGCATTTCTCAAACTGTCGTGAAATTTAACGCCCATTTTAAAATTCAGATAATTTAAAAAAAAAGAATTTTCTGAACATTTCTTGAAATGTTGAAAAAAAAGTAGCGATAATTTGATAATTATTAAAAGAGTGAGAAACGCTAATAATAATTACTGTTTTACTACTTACGCAGACGAACACCAGCAAATAGTTTTTCAACATGGTGATTATTTGGAAATATTAATTTTACTTATTGTTTCGATCGCTGCAATTTATTTCATTTTCGACTCGACTGATTACGTAACAAATACCACAATTACTCTCTATGATAAAATAAATTAATCATTGTGTTTTGTCTATTATAAATCAACGTTATAAAACAAAATAATATCGTCACTAAATGTGATCTAAAATCTATGGAATGATTACTATGTGTTCTCTAAGAGTTGTGTTCATTATTCGTAACGAACAAAAGAGAGTAAAAAAATAGAAAGAAAACTGATAATTTGTCTAATGTCTGTATGTTCTAAAATGATGAATTTCTTATGACAGAAATTATAGAGAATCTACTATATACACAACTGAATAAAACTGTTAACACAAAATTCTACTATAGTCACATGCACTAATCAGAACCAAAGAAACTAATAGATGATGAAAATATAAATGAAAATCTAAGTTTTCTTCCTACTTTTTCCAAACTCGATATAGAACAGTGTTAGAGTCTAAAACAGGCCTGCTCAACTGGTAGACTCGAGCATGATCCTGGGTAGTGATTGCAGCTATGTTATTACAAGAGGATTGGGGGTTGTATGACCTCTACAGATTTTCAATGATACAAGTAAATTATATAATAAAGTTCTAAGAATCCTTAGAAGTCCAGTATCCAATAATTTGGTATATGAACAACTCACTGGTGCCTTCTCATTATGTTCCTCACCCTTGAGAGTGCGGTTAACTACCCAAGGGTGTGTACAATTAGCTAGCAGGCCTCAAAAATTACATACTGGGCGTGATTAATGAAGGGTGTAACGTTTGAAGGGTGTAACTCCACCCAGGAGGCGTGATTAGTAATATAAGAGGCGTGGTTAGTAATTCAAGGGGTGTGGTAGCCACATACGGGGCGTTATTAGAACAGTGGGAGTGGCGTCCATCCGAGAGACGTGGTTTGTCACTAAAAGGTGATTAGCTATCCGTAGAGAGTAGATTAACTAATAAACAGAAGGGTAATAAACATAAGGGACGCGATGAATTGTTCAAAAAATGTAGTTAACCATCAAGAGGTGGATAGTCACTTATAAGATGTGATTTAACATCCAAATGGTATAGTAGATCACTCAAGAGGTGTAAATAAATAATAGGGGAGTGGCTAACTGCTCAAGGGGCGTGGTAAGTCATCTGAGGGGCGTAGTTAGCAACCTATGAGGTGTGGTAAGCCACCCAATAGGCGTAGTTAGCTACGAATGGGCGTGGTTATCCGCCTATAGGGCGTGGTGAAACACTCAAGAGGCGTGGTCAGCTTTCAGAGTGACTTAATTAGTTACTCAGACTGAAACCTTGCCTGAAATAATAAAATCGTAGTACGAGGAACATTGAGTTGAGCAGGCCCAGTCTAAAATAGCAATTTCAAATAATAGTTAACACAACTATGTTTTATGAAGGTTTAGTGCAACATTTTAAATTGAGGGTTTCCACATTTAAATATTATTAAATGTAATTTCTCGTGACCTTGTAAATTAATGATCATTGGATTATTATCGAAGTTTGATAAATCTTTGAAAAAAGTGGGAATCGATAGTTACAATCATGGACGTAAGAATCCGTGGATGGAGGTTCCTAAAATTTTATCTACTGAGCAAAAATCATTAGAGTTGTAGGATTAATATATTTTCACGTCCATGATTCAATACAGAGGAAACAAAAGAAGAAAACAATGAAAATAAAAGGACAAAAGATAATGATAATCAAGTGCAGACAATTGATAAAGATTAAGTCGAGAGGGAAGCACTTTTCGTGAAGCAGCCCTTCGAGTTCTTTCGTTCGAGAGATGAAAGCAATCAGTTATGGTGTACCGGTATATACTGTGTGATCGATTTAAGAAGAGCAGCTTGCAAAATTATAGCATGGTTTTGATTGAGGTGTGACTGTACCTCTTACGTGAACCATCTTGGGCAGTTCTGGCGGAGTGAATGTAGGGGGAGGATGGTGGTCGTCTGTAACAAACCACTACACATGTTAGCTACCCTAACTAATTCACCTAAGGTCTAGTTAGCTACTCTATTCGCTAATAGCTATTCTCTATTGCTAATTTTTGCGTTCGAACTGACTAAAATCGAGCTCCGTACCAGCGTTCAAACAGATACATACACGAAGTTTGTAATTTAAAGTATAATCGAGTCGAACACATCTACTTACAAATGTGTTTTTCTTCCAACACCTATAATCGTATAAATTTTTCAAAATAAATTATCACACCTAATCGTTAATTGTAACGAAGTCACGCTGGAACGAACTTTATCTAATAAAATACCATTCTAAACATTACTACGTATTACTGCTGAACATAATAGCCTCCTTCAGGGAAGAAGTTTGTACTATTAATATAGTTACTAGTTATCAGTGTAGTAAATGTATTTAATTGATGGCTCTGTATAGTACTACACTGTCAAGTAACTTTTAAATACAGTAATATACTATACAAGATAGTATACTAACATAATATCAATAGTACCACAGTTATTTTAGTGGATATCATAAGAAAATAGTAACGTAAGGCTGTACTGGTCGCACGCCGCACTGCGCATGCGCATGACGTCACACGCGAGAGCCAATCAGAGGCTACCTGCGCAGTACAGCCTGCGCTCGTGCATCCATCGTTCCTCTATCTTAAAATGAACATGTATTATACTTTCTTTATTACTTATTGCAAAGTAAATTACGTCATTTAGTAACGTATAAAATAGGTAATTGAATAAGATAGTTTATTAATATTATGTTTCAATATTTAATTGTTAAATAATAAATGAATATTGTGCCTCAGTATAATACGTAGTAACAGAACTTAAATCTAATCCTAAAGGAGGCTAATGTGCTCGGCACTGTACTTGTTACTCAGACTACCGTTCCAAATATTGCTCGTTGCAACGCGGACGAGTAATAAAATTATGCGAACAAATCTCTTCCGCGTTGTACAAACGTTGTTTAAAACAGTAAATAGAGTGAAACAGGATGAGCAAGCAATACTTTCATGCTAAATAAAATCGACAGAGGCAAGGAACAATCGATCGAATCAACTATGGAGAAATATACAAATGTTTCTTGAAACGAAATCGAACGATCCGTTGCAAAAATGTCTTTGCCTCTGTTCAAAGATAACTTATCATGCTTGGAACATGCAGTAATAAGTTCTTAAGATGTGAATATTTACTTGGTATCGCGAGTGCAGAGTTCTTTACAAGTATAAATTGTGCAATAGATTAGAGAATTCGAAAGATTGTAGGATTCTATCGTGCCAAAGCAGAAAATACGGAGGAAAATTTTTAACAGCGAGTGTGAAGCTAGAGTGAAACTCGACGATTGTTAATTATTTGCGGTTATTTATATTGCGAACTCGCGTCGTTTGTTGTTCGCGCGATATACGTGAGGGGCCACCTTCTTTTCATTAATTTTCAAATTAATTTTTCGAAATTTTTTAAGTTTTAAGTATTGAAAATTGATGAAATCTCTGGGATACAATCGGAGAGCCATTTTAAATAATAGGGCAATTGTTATTTATTTAAATGGGAGACATGGAAAAGTCCTTTGTGGTAATAGTACTACATGATGATTTAAGAATTTAAACATTTTCGTTGGGTGTTGGGTTTGGGTCACATATGGAAGTAAGACAAAGGTTATTTTTAGGATTTTGGGATTTTGGAATTTTGACACTTTGGAACCCACAAGTTTGAGTCCTTAGGACTTCAAGATTTTAGATTTTTTGATTCTTAGAATTTTAAAAATTACAAGTTAATTTTTAAAAGTTTTGGGCATTTGGATCTTCTGCATTCCCATCTGTGGCAATATAACAAGATTCTTCTACATAGAATGATCTCTTCCTATATTGCCAATTCTTTACTACAGTAGCCTTCATGGCAATATAACGAAGATCTACTGTATATTAGTAAACTTAATATCCTTCTGTACCAGAGATTTCATAATCCACTAAAATTACATTAAAGAATAATTTAAACAATTTATCCTGAAAAGATGGTGGCCAAATATAGCCTACTTCTTACGATACGCGTTTCGCATAATCGCGTGATACGTAATAATAGACGCATACGTGTGTATACAAATATTAATTACGGATATTATACACCGGCTCCATATTAAACTTACTTGTGTACGAGAAGTCTTCACCTAAGTAGTAGTGGTAGAGGACGAAGAGAAGAAAATTCGAACAGATAGACACATAGAAAGTTAGTTAAAAGACATCTTTCATGACGTTTGGTGTGTATATTGTGAAGTGGGCACACAGACTGGTGAGTCTAGGTATGATAGATATACTCATCACGTTTAATCGCATATGTGTAAGTGAGTGATGGTATATACACACACATATATGCATACACGAGTGGGCCATAGGTGAATTAGAAGTGAGAAAATGATAATGTTTGCCTTTAATGAGCGATGCTAATGAAATTAATTATTGACTGTTTAAATCCCTTTTTATTTCACATTTTTATCCTGTGCACACATCGCTCATTTGTACCTGCCTAGTAGATATTGTTGTCCAATTACACAGACTTATTTGCTTCAGACATTGCTTACAATTGTAAGATATTTGATGTGTGGACATCGGGACAGTTATTCCATATATAATAACACAGATAAGATCATTAAATATGTCTGATTTGATGGAGGCGTTGAAAAGTGTCACGCGTGGCAGCGGCTTAAGGCGACATATTATCATTGACCATAGTTTATTTGGGTTATAATATGTCAAGTAGCTACTACACTGTGTATTGTTGGATTAAATCAAGGATAATCATCAGAACAATTTTTGAAATGTACATTGTTACTCGAATGAACAAGTCTGAGACGTGATATGCTGCCTTAAGCCGCTGCCACAAGAGTTATTAATCTGCACTTGATATGTACTATTGAATTATCGGTGGAATATATTGGTGGTTTACTGACTTATTTTCAATAATGTCTTCTTAAAGAGTTTAGGTACTGATTATCAATAAGGTGGCATGTCACGTACAAAAGAAGTTGCTTTGTATTATAACATGTCATATTACAATTCTGTTGAATTAAGTTAAGAATAGACACAAGAAGAATTCTTTACAGCAACATAATATATATTGTGACTCAAGTAAACCATTTTAAGAGGTGATATGCAACCTTAAACCGTCGCCACGTTTATACTTTCTATATTTCTATAATACTTTGTATTATAACATGTCATATTACAATTTCTGTTGCTCACTGTTAGATTAGGTTAAGAATAAATACAAGAAGAATTGTTTAAAGCAACGCAATATATATTGTGACTTAAATAAACCATTTTAAGAGGTGATATGCAACCTTAAGCCGTCTCCACGTTTATTCTTTCTATATTTCTATAATACTTTGTATTATAACATTTCATATTACAATTTCTGTTGCTCATTGTTAGATTAAGTTAAGAATAAATACAAGAAGAATTATTTAAAGCAACGCAATATATATTGTGACTCAAATAAACCATTTTAAGAGGTGATATGCAGCCTTAAGCCGTTGCCACGCACATTAATTTCTATACTTCAGTAAATTTTAAAATTTATAATCAATATACTACTTGTATTGAATTATTATCTTCAACAATGATTGTTTTTGCAGAAATCTTTAATATTTTAATTTTTTCATATTGTTAAGGCAACAACTGATTTATTTAAACTATAATATTATGTTGTATTAGAAAATTGTCCTGATGTCCTCAACTGGTTATTTCACAATTAAATAATTTATTTTAAATTGCAATTTAGGTAATAGAATAAGTTGAAGCATATAAGCACTGTGAACACAATGGATCGCGTATGAAAGTCGAAAGTTTGTAACGAATCGAACACACTTAAGAAATTGAAGCTAACATCGGGACACCGTTGGAAAAACTTTTCGACACAATCGTTGACTTGTTCAGAAACAAAGATTAATCATCTAGTTCTAAGATATTCTAAAACACTTGAAATATTTAAATACTGAACATCGATGCAAAATTAAGTTGGAAGTACATAGTTCAAGACTCAAGGCAAATCACATATCGCGCAAATTCGGTACCGATTAGTCTCAAATAATTCGCTTACAACAATTAACCATCGAAAGAACATTTACATACCTCCAGAGAACTACATTCAGAACAACACTGATATAGAAATATGTAATCTCGGTTGCCAACAGAAAGAAATTGAAAAAAAAAAAGATAATGAAAGAACATCACATCAATAGAAGACTCAAAAAACACTAACATTATTCTACTTTGAAATCAATTATTATCGTTATGAGTTCGAATGGCGTTACAGAAATCAGCGCAAAAAAATACGTCTATGTTTTCCAACTTTCGATCAAAATTCAAGAAACTATTCCTGCTGTATTATGCATTAAAATCGTTACGAAAGTAAATACTATCTCTATTAATTAATAGATCGAAATTGAATCTTACTAACCTCGACAAAATATATTTTATAACCACTTTTTCCTATCACTTAAAAAAAAAGATCTAAAATTCTTCGAATTTATTGGCAAAAAAAGGAAAGAATAACGAAAAGAAAAATAGAGAGAATGAAAGGAATGACACGTGGAACACAATCTACACTCGGGGGGATACATACTTGTTTTTCCAACGATCTGAACAGCTCGCACGCCTTTCCGGAATGTGGCCACTGCCCGAAGGGAGGAGAACCAGAGCTGTTAGTTGTCATATCAAAATAACATGAACCTAAATGCGGGAGGTGGCAACAGGTGGACAGGAATGTCTCGATCGACGTGTCACGTGAGTCGAAGATTCGAGTGCAACGTAGACCTTTAGCGGGGGCAAATTTGCCCGGAGAGTTGCCCCGAGGATGTGAGGAAACTAGATATTTTGCTAGGAGATCAGTTTCTATAGTGGTGAGACATTCTAGAAACGATACGTCGAAGCATTTGACTATGGGAGATTTAGCAGATTACGGGAGACTTTCGTTATATTGCCGCT